TGCTGAGAGAACTTGCTCAGAGAACTTGCTCAGAGAGCTTGCACAAAGAACTTGCTCAGAGAACTTGCTCAGAGAACTTGCTCAGACAAACTTGCTGAGAGAACTTGCTCAGAGAAACGTGCTGAGACAACTTGCTCAGGGAAACTTGCTGAGAAAACTTGGTCAGAGAACCTGCTGAAACAACTTGCTGACAGAACTTGATGACAGAACTTGCTCAGAGAAACTTGCTGAGAAAACTTAATGAGAGAACTTGCTCAGAGAAACTTGCTGAGAGAACTTGGTCAGAGAAACTTGCTGAGAGAACTTGCTGCGTGAACCTGTTGAGAAAACTTGCTCAGAGAACTTGTTGAGAGAATTTGCTCAGAGAACTTGCTCAGAGAACTTGCTCAGAGAAGCTTGCTGAGAGAACTTGCTGAGTGCTGAGAGAACTTGATCAGGGAACTTGCTCAGAGAACTTGATGAGAGAACTTGCTCACAGACCTTGCTCAGAGAAACTTGCTGAGAGAACTTGCCCAGAGAACTTGTTGAGAGAACTTTCCCAGAGAAACTTGCTCAGAGAACTTGCTCAAAGAACTTGATGAGAGAACTTGCTCACAGACCTTGCTCAGAGAAACTTGCTGAGAGAACTTGCCCAGAGAACTTGCTGAGAGAACTTGCTGAGAGAACTTGATCATCAGAGAGAAACTTGCTGAGAGAACTTGCTCAGAGAAATTGCTCATGCTCACAGACCTTGCTGAGAGAACTTGCTCAGACAATTTGCTCAGAGAACCTGCTCAAGAACTTGCTGAGAGAACTTGCTGGGAGAACTTGCTCAGAGAACTTGCTCAGAGAAACTTGCTGAGAGCACTTGCTCAGAGAACTTGCTCAGAGAAACTTGCTGAGAGAAACTTGCTCAGAGAAACTTGCTGAGAGAACTTGCTCAGAGAAACTTGCTGAGAGAACTTGCTGAGATAACTTGCTCAGAGAACTTGCTCAGAGAAACTTGCTCAGAGAACTTGCTCAAAGAACTTGATGAGAGAACTTGCTCACAGACCTTGCTCAGAGAAACTTGCTGAGAGAACTTGCCCAGAGAACTTGCTGAGAGAACTTGCTGAGAGAACTTGATCATCAGAGAGAAACTTGCTGAGAGAACTTGCTCAGAGAAATTGCTCATGCTCACAGACCTTGCTGAGAGAAACTTGCTGAGAGAACTTGCTCAGAGAACTTTCTTTGAGAAACTTGCTGAGAGAAACTTGCTCAGAGAAACTTGCTGAGAGAACTTGCTCAGGGAACTTGCTCAGAGAGCTTGCTGAGAGAACTTGCTCAGAGAACTTGCTGAGAGAACTTGCTCAGAGAACTTGCTCAGAGAAACTTGCTCGGAGAACTTGCTCAGAGAAACTTGCTGAGAGAAATTGCTCAGAGAAGCTTGCTGAGAGAACTTGCTCAGAGAAACTTGCTGAGAGAACTTGCCCAGAGAACTTGTTGAGAGAACTTGCTGAGAGAAACTTGCTGAGAGAACTTGCTCAGGGAACTTGCTCAGAGAACTTGCGCAGAGAATTTGCTCAGAACTTGCTGAGAAAACTTGCTCAGATGTTTTGCTCAGAGAACTTGCCCAAGAACTTGCTGAGAGAACTTGCTGAGAACACGTGCTGAGAGAACTTGCTCAGAGAACTTGCTCAGAGAAACTTGCTGAGAGAACTTGCTCAGAGAAACTTGCTCAGAGAACTTGCTCAGAGAAACTTGCTGAGAGAACTTGCTCAGAAAACGTGCTGAGAGAACTTGCTCAGAGAACTTGCTCAGAGAAACTTGCTGAGAGAACTTGCACGGAGAACTTGCTCAGGGAAACTTGCTCAGAGAACTTGCTCAGAGAAAATTGCTGAGAGAACTTGCTCAGAGAAACTTGCTCAGAGAACTTGCTCAGAGAAACTTGCTACGAGAACTTGCTCAGAGAAACTTGCTGACAGAACTTGCTCAGAGAACTTGCTCAGAGAACTTGCTCAGAGAACTTGCTCAAAGAACTTGCTCCGAGAACTTGCTCAGAGAAACTTGTTGACACAACTTGCTGAGAGAAACTTGCTGAGAGAACTTGCTCAGAGAAACTTACTGAGAGAACTTGCTCAGAGAAACTTGCTGAGAACACTTGGTGAGAGAACTTGCTCAGAGAAACTTGCTGAGAGAACTTGCTGAGAGAAACTTGCTGAGAGAACTTGCTCAGAAATTTGCTCAGAGAAGCTTGCTGAGAGAACTTGCTCAGAGAAACTTGCTGAGAGAAGTTGCTCAGAGAAGCTTGCTGAGAGAACTTTCTCAGAGAAACTTGCTGAGAGAACTTGCTCAGGAAACTTGCTCAGAGAACTTGCACAGAGAATTTGCTAAGAACTTGCTGCGAAACCTTGCTCAGATGTTTTGCTCAGAGAGCTTGCTCAGAGAACTTGCTGAGAGAACTTGCTGAGAAAACTTGCTGAGAGAACTTGCTCAGAGAAACTTGCTGAGAGAACTTGCTCAGAGAAACTTGCTGAGACAACTTGCTCAGAAAAACTTGCTCAGAGAACTTGCTCAGAGAAACTTGCTCAGAGAACTTGCTCAGAGAAACTTGCTGAGAGAACTTGCTGAGAGAACTTGATCAGAGAACTTGCTCAGAAAACTTGCTGAAAGAACTTGCTGAGAGAAACTGCTGAGAGAACTTGCTCAGAGAACTTGCTGAGGGAAAGTGCTCAGAGAACTTGCTCAGAGAAACTTGCTGGGAGAACTTGCTCAGAGAACTTGCTGAAAACATTTGCTCAGAGAGCTTGCTCAAAGAACTTGCTCAGAGAACTTGCTCAGAGAAGTTGCTCAGAGAACTTGCTCAAGAACTTGCTGAGAGAACTTGCTCAGGGAAACTTGCTGAGAGAACTTGCTCAGACAACTTGCTCAGAGAGCTTGCTCAAAGAACTTGCTCAGAGAACTTGCTCAGAGAAACTTGTTGAGAGAACTTGCTGAGAGAAACTTGCTGAGAGAACTTGCTGAGAGAACTTGATCAGGGAACTTGCTCAAAGAACTTGCTCAGACAAACTTGCTGAGAGAACTTGCTGAGGGAAACTTGCTCAGAGAAACTTGCTGAGAGAACTTGCCCACAGAACTTGTTGAGAAGACTTACTCAGAGAAACTTGCTCAGAGAACTTGCTCAGAGAAACTTGCTGAGAGAACTTGCTGAGAGAACTTGATCAGAGAACTTGCTCAGAGAAACTTTGCTCAGAGAACTTGCTGAGAGAAACTTTCTCAGAGAAACTTGCTGAGAGAACTTGCTCAGAAAACTTGCTGAGAGAACTTGCTCAGAGAAACTTGCTCAGAGAACTTGCTCAGGGAAACTTGCTCAGAGAACTTGCTCAGAGAAACTTGCTGAAAGAACTTGCTCAGAGAAACTTTGCTCAGAGAACTTGCTCAGAAAACTTGCTGAGAGAACTTGCTCAGAGAAACTTGCTCAGAGAAACTTTGCTCAGAGAACTTGCTGAGAGAAACTTTCTCAGAGAAACTTGCTGAGAGAACTTGCTCAGAAAACTTGCTGAGAGAACTTGCTCAGAGAAACTTGCTCAGAGAACTTGCTCAGGGAAACTTGCTCAGAGAACTTGCTCAGAGAAACTTGCTGAAAGAACTTGCTCAGAGAAACTTTGCTCAGAGAACTTGCTCAGAAAACTTGCTGAGAGAACTTGCTCAGAGAAACTTGCTCAGAGAAACTTTGCTCAGAGAACTTGCTGAGAGAAACTTTCTCAGAGAAACTTGCTGAGAGAACTTGCTCAGAAAACTTGCTGAGAGAACTTGCTCAGAGAAACTTGCTCAGAGAACTTGCTCAGGGAAACTTGCTCAGAGAACTTGCTCAGAGAAACTTGCTGAGAGAACTTGCTCAAAGAAACTTGCTGAGAGAACTTGCTCAGAGAACTTGCTCAGAGAAACTTGCTGAGAGAACTTGCTCAGAGAAACTTGCTGAGAGAAACTTGCTGAGAGAACTTGCTGAGAGAAACTTGCTGAGAGAACTTTCTCAGAGAACTTGCGGAGATAACTTGCTCAGAGAAACGTGCTGAGAGAACTTGCTCAGAGAACCTGCTGAGAGAACTTGCTCAGAGATCTTGATGAGAGAACTTGCTCAGAAAAATTTGCTCAGAGAACTTGCTGAGAGAGCTTGCTCAGAGAACTTTCTCAGAGAAACTTTCCCAGAGAAACTTGCTCAGAGAACTTGCTCCGAGAAACTTGCTCAAAGAACTTGCCTTCGATTTCAATATAGCTTTCTGGCAGCAGGGTGGGACCGTAGGCATTGCTGGGGATTGCCACCCTCTGCGTGGATCGGAGTGATCGAGGTTAAAAAACTCGAGGTTTGCAGGTTGTTTGACTCTTGCGGTGCATCGCACCATCCTGCAGAGAGCGGCCGAGTTTGTCTCGTTTGCGTGCTGGCTCGAGCGGCGGAAGGCTCGACTCCCGCTTAGTGCTCGCAGCTTGTAAGAAACCAGCGCGAGAGCTATGCGAAGTACACTTTCGTATCACCGGCTAGAAAATCGCACCCTTTAAGCGCGAAAGCAGTACAAAGTAAACTTTCGCAGGTCCGCAAGAAAAACAGATGTGCTCGCAGAGGAAGGCTGCCATGTTGGGTCAGCGCTCAGAGAACTTGCTCAGACACACTTGCTGAGACACTGGCTCACAGAAACTTTCTCAGAAAATGCTCAGAGAACAGGAACATATCGTGCTGTTGTGTTATGCTGTGAGGAGAGGCTCTTGCATATAACTCGCTCAACTATCCCTTCGGGCCACTCTTTAAGGAGACACCAAAGGACACCCCTAGTCATTTTGCGGGTCTGACCCGTACAACAAGACACACCCAACAACCTATTTTCTGCCACACTTACTTCCATTTGCTTCAGTCCACTAAAAAAAACAAGTCCAGTAGTGACAGATTCCCTTTAAAACACACAGGGGAAAATCAACGCAATTCTTAAGCAAATGGAAGCTTTAGGCAAAAGCGTTGCCAAAGCCTGCAGGTAAATTCAATCCCCTTCCTCGTCGCTGAGACAAATCTCAGGCACATCCCCCGGAGACGTGGGGGTGATCGGTGTCAGCGACTCCGAGGTAATGACTCGCGTGTTCATGGCGGGTGAGCAAAGGATGTTCATTGACCTATGCTGCATGGAGCCAAAATAACAATGCATATCCAGTCGGCCCAAGGTTGAGCAGGTTTGGAAGCAACATAGCAGTGACAACCATGTGCAAAAAGGCAAGTATTCTTCCAAAGGCCTGTGCATTTCTATGTTTGTCGAGCAGGCCAGTAATAGAAAGTTCAGGAGTGAAGAGATTGGCAAGTGACAAGCGAACCGTGACGGCGAGGCGCGGTCTCTAAACGACCGCAGGTCCAAAACGCATACGGCAACTTGATTCGACGTCCTGCCACGCGTGTTTTTTCTCCCATTCTGATCCAGGCCGGGGTTCTTGCTCAACTTGGCAGGTTTCTTGCCCAATACCAGCACTTCAAGGTGATCAAGCCAATACTAAGCCGATCACACAAAGGGGTGGATATCGGTGACTGTGAGTGACAAGCTTCTTCAACTGGGACCAAACCCTTCGCCCCGGAGATTGAGAATTCATCTCTTAGCGCAAATTTGCCCAGAGGTTTTGATGTTGTGCTTTTCTGCCTGCAGAGCTTTGATGTTTCAACTTTGGGCTTGGACTTGGTTGGCTTGTCTGTGCCCCTGTAGGTGCTGTGTGTGTGTGTGTGCGTGTGTTGCTAAACAAAGAACGGTGTGTCTGGAGCAAGACGTACTAAACTGCTGGTATTTACAACTTGTTCATGTTCTTCATGTTGCGAATGCAACAAGGATTGTTTTCGAGTTTTGAAGCAATTTTCACAAGCTATTTTGGACAACAAACAATATCCTAAGCCTTGAGCTTTCTTCTTACTGAAAGGTTTGCCCAATGCCAAGGTCGGAGATTGCGGTTCCATTTCACAGTGTGCCGGCCGCGATTGATCACACACACACATAATATAGCAGGTGGCAATCCACTAATGCTTTCAGCACTTGGATTGATTGTCACGTCCATTAAACAACATATTGCACCGAACGGCGGTGCGTCCATCGGCGCTTGGCTCAGTTGGATCAACTCGCGTTCTCAGTACCAAATGCGAGAACGTTCAGTCAAACTGTGTTTCATAGTATGGCTGTGGCTCAACAAACCGGTACCCAAAATGGGTTGCCCTGGTAAGTGGAAACATGGACCAAAACCTGCGGGTTGCCCCACCTGTTTAATTTTGAGCCACACCCATATGACCGTATCAGGAAAAGTCCCACGGGACTAGCCGCTTCGGCGAGGTCCACCACCCATATGGGACCAGAAGGGCCGACGGCATTCGAGATGCGCTTCTGGTAAACGGGAAACGCGTGTAGCATTCGCAGGTCCTCCTGTAGAGAGCTTAGAATAAGGGTACCCTTTTTTCTGGCTGTTTTGGTAGGGGAGCCCTCCCAACCGACAAAGAAACAGTAAAAGGGCACTACTGGGGGACCTAGTTCGGATGCCAGATCGGAGTTCCATGGCTGAGTGCCCCTCGGCGCTGTCGCAGCCATGGACCAAATGGAAGGAGATGGATCGGATGCCACATGTTCGTGGGCACCGCTCGCACGTAGGTCTTCGGGCCTTCCATCCCTGCGAAGAAAAACAAAAACAGGGAGTTGTTTTTTTGTTGGTATGGCCCGTCCTTCAATCACCCCAAACACCCAAGGAACACGCCAAACCTATAAAAACACACACACACACACCCCGATTCGCTCGAGGGACAGGCCAGGCCCGTAGTCTTCCGGCTTGCAAGGGGGGGGGGTGCCCCGGTGAGAGCAACTGTACACCCATGACAGAAATGTACTGACATGTGCGGACAGTCGGCGCTCAGAGTACACAAGCATAAACATTTCCCAGCTTTAAACCGAAGAACCGCAAACGCTTTTCGCGAGCGGCTTCCAGGCCAAACACAACTGCGCTGAGTAAAAGCAACGTTGGTGCAGTCATGGCCAAATTGACCCCACACATTCGCAGCAAAGCCGTACTCGCCGCTTCGGCGCGTATGCCTTGAGACGCTACCTCAACGACGGCCACCATGGCCCTCATGGAACAAGATTGATGGCTCAGTGTCACAATCGCTCAGCTGAGTGTTGCCAGACTCTGCTTTGCTTGGGTGTGTTTCTCAGAGTTGCCAACAAACCAAAGGGTTTCTCTTGAACCGTCTCTGCAATTGCGTGCCTCTGTGTCTACGTCTCTTCTGCTTCTCTGCGATTGCAAGCAAAGCGGAAGGCTATTTCAAGAAGGCGAATCGCTTAGCGCATCACCAAAGGAGAATGGATTGAATGCGAACGTGCACGTTGCATGCGTTATACGTAGCATGCAGCGGCTGTCCGGAAGTCGTGTGTCTAAGTCCTCGGTTTGTGGCATATGGATCAAGGTTGTGGGGGTCTATCAAACTGACACCTTTGTAAGGCTGGTGGAAAACTCGATGCCCCCAAGCAAGAACAGAGAGAGAGAGAGAGAGCAAAAAAAAGGGGCCGGATAACCCCAAATGTGTAGCCTTAGAAAACACAGGTTGCGGAAGCATGCACGGTACCCCGCGAGATGCGGTGAGCGTGTGAGTCAACGGAAGAAGTGAGCATGAACAAGTCTGCGCGGTGTGTCATCTTGTCTTGTTGTCATGTCACCTTTTCTCACGCAAACGTGAGCCGACGACATCCAGTCCCTTTAGTCAGCTACCAAAATGCTGCCCATGCCACACAAACGTACACCCAGACTGCGCCTGCCACGAAATGCTGCCCATGCCACGCAAACGTACACCGACAACATCCAGTCCCTTTAGTCAGCTACCAAAATGCTGCCCATGCCGCACAAAGTACACCCAGCTGCAGGCAATGCTGTGCCTGCCACGAAGTTTGCAAGCCACCTCCGCCTGCCACGCAAAACCGGGCCCCCAGTCGCGCGCTCGACAACATCCAGTCCCTCTACACAGCTACCACATGCTGCCCCCATGCCACGCAAACGTACACCGACAACATCCAGCCCCTTTAGACAGCTACCAAAATGCTGCCCGTGGCAAACAAACGTACACCCAGATGCAGGAGATGCTGGGCCTGCCGCGAAATTTGCAAGCCACCTCCAAAGTGCTGCGCCTGCCACGCAAAACGGGGCCCTCAGCCGCGCGCTCGACAACATCCAGTGCCTCTATACTGCCCATGCCACGCAAACGTGAGTGAGTGAGTGAGTGAGTGAGTGAGTGAGTGAGTGAGTGAGTGAGTGAGTGAGTGAGTGAGTGAGTGAGTGAGTGAGTGAGTCAGTGAGTGAGTGAGTGAGTCAGTGAGTGAGTGAGTGAGTGAGTGAGTGAGTGAGTGAGTGAGTGAGTGAGTGAGTGAGTGAGTGAGTGAGTGAGTGAGTGAGTGAGTGAGTGAGTGAGAGTGAGAGTGAATGAGTGAGTGAGTGAGAGTGAGAGAGTGAGAGTGAGAGTGAGAGTGAGAGTGAGAGTGAGAGTGAGAGTGAGAGTGAGAGTGAGAGTGAGAGTGAGTGAGTGAGTGAGTGAGTGAGTGAGTGAGTGAGTGAGTGAGTGAGTGAGTGAGTGAGTGAGTGAGTGAGGCGGTGAGCAAGTGTGAGGGCGTGGGTGCGGCGGATGCGGCCGGTGCGGTTGGGCGGGTGCCAGGCGACGGGTGCAGCGTTAAAAATAAAGGAAAAAGAGAAAGAAGGAGAGGTAAAGAAAGAAAGAAAGAAAGACAGAAAGACGGAAAGACAGAAAGACAGGAAACCAAAAAATAAGGAAGGAAAGAAATAAAAAAGGACATACATACAGAATGAAAAAAAGGACGAAAGAAATCATAAACTAGAGGACGCTTGGCCCGAAAGCATTGTTGCCCAAGAGCTCTTCCAGTCGCGGAGACACCTTTTTACATCGATGCGGCGAGCGTGTCTGCACGCGGCAATGCTCAATGTGTATGGTCACATGAGAGCTCCATCAGGCTCCACCTCATCGTCCTACGAGAGGAAACATGGCAGTGTCTGCGCAGGCTGCATTGTTCCAGGCTGCTGCGCGCAAGTTGCTCTCTGCAAGCTGCTGCACGCAAGTGGCTGGACATCTGTCTTCAGGCTGTTCTGCGCACGTTGCTCTGTGCAAGTTTCCCTCCGCAAGACGCTCGGCGCTTGTATCTGTGCGCAAGACGCTCAGCCTGAGCTGAGCTGTGGAGGTGCTCCGCTCACTATACGTCTGCGCTTCAGGGTTGCGATTTTCCGGTCGGAGCCGCCAGGAGTACACTCCTACGGCTTCTTAAGAATTTGCTTAAGCCGGAGCTGCCGCGGACCAGGGGGGAATCGATCCCGCGACCGCGCGATTGCAAAAGCAGGCGCGCAAACCACGAGACAGCTTCCAAAGGCCATTTCGCGGGTGAGGATCGCAAAAAAACTCGAGTTTTTGTACCTCGACCACGCCGATCCCCGCAGAGGGTTCATCCGCGCACCGCAAAAAACAAAAACATAACGCGAGTTTTTGCACCTCGACCACGCCGATCCCCGCAGAGGGTTGCGCGGGCACCGCGAGAATCGCAAACAAACTCGAGTTTTTGCCCCTCGACCACGCCGATCCCCGCAGCGGCTTCATCCGCGCACCGCAAAAAAACAACGCAAAAACCTCGAGTTTTTGCACCTCGGCCACGCCGATCCCCGCAGAGGGTTCATCCGCGCACCGCAAAAAAAAACACGCAAAAACCTCGAGTTTTTGCACCTCGACCGCGCTGATCCCCGCAGAGGGTCGCGCGGGCACCGCAAGAATGGCAAAAAACCTCGAGTGTGCCTCGACCACGCCGATCCCCGCAGAGGGTCGCAATCCCGATCGAGGATCAAAGTCCTGCCCCGGCGCCCTAGAAACCTAAACCTTACATAGCTGCTAACGCCGAAGCGCTACGCACTTGGCTCTATGCACTTGGCTCTATGCACTTGGCTCTATGCACTTGGCTCTATGCACTTGGCTCTATGCGCTTGGCTCTATGCACTTGGCTCTATGCACGGCTCTATGCACTTGGCTCCATGCACTTGGCTCTATGCACTCGGCTCTCTCGGCTCTATGCACTTGGCTCTATTTGCACTTGGCTCGATGCACTTGGCTCTATGCACGGCTCTATGTACTTGGTTCCATGCACTTGGCTCTATGTATTTGACTCTGCGCAAGTGACTCTATGCAAGTTGGTCCGAGAGCTCTGCGCGGAAGAACCCTTCGCGATGCTTTCGGGAAAAAAGAAAGGAAGAAAGAACAACTGAAAGAAATCAAGCAAGCAGGCAGGCAGGCAGGCAGGCAGGCAGGCAAGCAAAAAGCAAGCAAGCAAGCAAGCAAACAAACTGGAAAGAAAGAAAGACAGAAAGAAAGAAATAAAGAAAGAAGAAAGACAGAAAGACAGAAAGAAATCAAGCAAGCAAGGAATAAGCAAGCAAGCAAGCAAGGAAGCAAAAAGCAAGCAAGCAAGCAAGCAAACAAGATAAAGAAAGAAAGAGACAAAAACACAACTCAACAACAAAACAACTAAACAATGTATATGGAGAGAGAGAGAGAGAGAGACACGCACACAAGTAAAAATACAGAGATAAGAAGAGAGATGGAGTCAGGAACCTCTGAAAGTTCACCTTATTTGCTTACCTCATAGTGGATCACCATGTTCACCTTAATGGACGTCATGTGCTTTTCACTTTCTCCAAGGCGCTCGGTTGCGCGGCGTCGGAAAAGCCTAGGGATGACAGAGACCTCTGCGGACTCCTCGTCCTCATCCTGCATGATCGGCAGATCTGTAAGGCCTGCCAAGTGAGTCGTGATCAAAACCCGGTACCCTTCCTCCAACTAACATGGCACCTGTGGGGAGGTACCTGGAAGAGTCATTTCCTTTTGAAGGGAGCCCCTGTCAGTTGCCATGTTAGTTGGAGGGAGGGTACAAATCTTTTCTACCCAGAACCATGTAAAGAAAAGAAGGCGGATTCCCGCAGCTATTTGCGGTTGGGATCGTCCCTTACTAGCCGGATCATCTACTCGGGTTTTGATTGTGGCTCAAGTGAGCCGGAATGAAACCTCACCGGCGTGAGGATCAACCGTATAAACCCCAGACATGGGGTGCCGTACTGTGGATGCACGAAATCCGTTCGCACCACCTAACTGGAATGATTCGATTCCCCTGTAAATACAAACAAACAATTCTTTCATGGTTTCTGTTACTGGTGCAGGATTTCGTCCATCCACAGTAAGAAAAGGACCACTGCGGTCCCCTTGCAGTTTAAGTTTGACCCATACCCTCATGAAGGAATTTTCTGCAGCCAGTGAGTCTCGAGCCAAGTTGCCTGGATAGATGGCTGCCCTATTCGCCTCCTCCAAATACACGCGCGCGTAAACCACCTCAAAAGGAAAGCTCACGCCCACCCCACTGCTCAACACTGCGCTTCACTAGGCATCAGGCAGCTTCGGCCAGAATGCCGGGGTAGTCTTGCCTCAGGCATTTCAGCTTCCCACTGATTGGCACTTTGGACTGGCTGGGGAAAGAAATGCGTCGCATCCTTGCTGATTCTTATTGGATGCTCTAAAACCCACTGAGACATGGCTGCGGGTGACAAATAGTTTCCCAAAACGGGTTGCCCTGGTAAATGGAAACATGGACTACAACCTGCGGCCCATGTCCTAGTGGTGACTAATTTTGTCCCCCACATCTTCATCACCGCGAAATCGAAATCAGTGATGGATTCCATTTAAAACCAACAAGGGAAAATAAACAACAAATCTTCATTCAGCAAATGATTAAGCCACCACTGCGAAATCGAACCATCCGATTTCAACAACAAATTTGGACGAGCCCGCGAATCTGCCGGGGAGCACGGCAGATTTCAAAGAAATTTGGACGAGCCCGCGAATCTGCCGGGGAGCACCGCAGATTTCAAAGAAATTTGGACGAGCCCGCGAATCTGCCGGGGAGCAGGACATCATGCAAGATGTCGGTCTGGAGCAGCAACCTTCTGGTGTCCGAAAGCGCCTGGAATCTGCCTGGCTTGGCTTGCCGCGAGTGGTCGGCATTGGGCGCTTGTTTTTTGGTCCCGGACCTGGTATGAGAACTTCAAATTCTGCCTTTATATATCTTTGGAGGCAGTGTCCTATTTTAAAAAACAAGAAACAAAACCATATATATATATGTATACATACATATAGCTGTGGGTCGAAAATAGGTACCCTAAATGGAACCCTGGCAAATGGAAACATGGACTAAAACCTGTGGTCCCCTGTTGGTGTAATGTTGACCCATACCCATATGTTGCCACATGGCTCTTTGAAGACTTGGTGCCTCATGTTCCGCAACAATCGCTGGCTGGCTCACTTGACCAAAGGCGGAAGGACCAAATTTGGTCCCATTGTTTCAATGACAGGTTCCTTTTCGTGGTCAATGTGCAACCCCGGGATGTGTGTTTTAGCTGCACAGCCCTTGGTATGGGAGCAAAAAACCGAGTTTTCCGCAGCACCCTGCCAAAAATGGGCAGAACCAAAAAGCCACAACAAGTGTTGCCAGGACTTTTGGCGCCATAGATCAGCTCTTCAGCCCGTGCACGCAAAAAGCGTCTAGTCAGCTAGTGCCACCATGCTCGAGATGAAGCGATGTCGGTGCAAAAATACACAGATTCACAAGGGACATGTTCCAAAAGCCATCACTCGTAACAAACGGTGGTTGCTGCACTTGCCAGGCTTTGTCATCTTGCATGCGCCGAACACGTCTATGGTTGTTTGGCGTTTTTCTTGGGGGTCATTCGATTCGGTGAGCATTTCGCTTCGATGCGTCGATCTCCAAATTCGCCTTGATGCTTCCAGGCTTGGATCCACAACGCCTGCTCGCTGATGAAATCTCCCTTGTTCACCACAGTCTCGTGCAAGTCCTCCCTCAGCGCTCACATGAAAAATACGGTGGATGGTTGCGAAATCCGTTCGCACCACTTTGAACCGCGAGGAACCATTGTTTGTTGCCATTTACTGGGGAATCGAATCATTCCAGGGTTTCGAAGGTGGTGCAGGATTTCGACCATCCACCGCAGGGATACTTTGGCGAAATGTCTCACATGAATGGCCATTCACAAGGAACAGCACATTGGGCCTGTGGGATGGCCAAGGCCTCTGATCACACAGCCAAGCAGTGGCCAGTTGCTGGCATCAAGGACCCTGTTCCAAGCACATGCAGATCCCTAAAATTTTCGAAAGCGTCCCAGTGTCCCCAGCGACATGCCAGGAAAGCCTCGCATGCAGCAGTTGCTGTTCAGGTTGCCTTTCAAGGGCGCATGGAGTTGCGAGGAGAGTATCATGCCATGGCCGGGAGTTGGCATCAAGACTGGAATCAAATGCCAGCTCCTTTCCACTGGTTGCCCACATTCCTTGCGCATTCACGCCTTTGCAGCAAAGTGCTCGGAGAACGCAGGCGAAGATGTGACCAAATGGGGGCAAAATATGGACCAAAACAGGAAAATCCCAAAAGCTCAGCTTTGGGCAACTGAGTGGACCGATGTCTCCGGCATGTCGAAAGGTACACGTGTGACACCATTCCCCCTGATTCACCCCTACACTGCCGCCAAATCACCAATCTGATGCTATCGCCACATGGCTGTGTGTCTTTGTGGATAGTTATGTGGAAAGCCACAAAGGCCAAAAGGACGAAATGGGGCGATCACCGGAAGTTGAAGGATGCCTTCGCTTTCTGACCTTCAGATTCTCCCGAGAGTTGTCCATGTGTCAGCCTTACCCCACTTCAGGGAAATGACTCATAAGTCCGCAACGTGATACTTAAAGCCACCTTTCAAGGACAAATTCCGCACACACGCACACACACACACACGCACACCAAAAAGACAAAGCCCAAAGACTCTTCACACAAACAAGCCAACGTCAACACACAACCAAGGCAACATGTTCTTCCTGATCCTTTGTGCAGCCTGGCGGCTCGCCCGCTTGCATGCGCAAGTCTCGAGGGTAGCCTGAAGTGGGCAACGGATCTCCTTGGTTGTGGGAAACCAGCAGGAAACCAACGGGAAACCAACAGGAAAGCAACAAGAAACCTAGCGGTCTCATTATTAATAAAGGAAGAACATGTTGAAGGAAACAACCCCCCTCTTCTGATGGAAGGGACGTATACCTTGTTGCAAATCATATTGTCCAAGCCATCCCGCAACACAGCGCACCTCCAATTTTTGTCGTCTCCCCACAAAAAATGCATTTGTCGAGGTGAAACCTAGGTGAAACATCGACACATGAAGTCCTAGACTTGCAGACCGGCCCTTGACAAAAACAAGAGGAAACCTGTGTTGAAGGGTCAGCTTGAGGAAACCTGCAACTGACGGATTTGGTGTTTCCTTCAATCTAAGTTCGGACTGTCAATGGCTGGTTCCTTTCAATGTGCCCGACACCAAAAAAAAGGTCTCTAGTTCCAGAAAACATCCAAGAGTTGCTAGGGAACAGTTTCAATACCCCTTACTCATAAGGGGTGGGGGATCTGGAAAATGCGTATCTGCAGCTTTAAGGGTGTCAATGCTTTGGCTTTTTGCGGTTATGCGAGCAGACAAAGAGGGCTTCAGGAGGGGACTCGCGGACAAAACCCCGGCGCGCATGAAAACGACCTTCTCGGTTGCTGTCTTGTTCCCCTTCTTTTAACAATCAGATATGTATTGTTTTGGGTCACCCAAATCAACTATGTATCGTTTTGGGCAGCTAACGGCGCCCGCGCCGGACCCGTGGTTTTTGGTGTTTTTCTGACTTTCACATGGTGGGCACCCGCTCAAGAGCACCCGCGCAGCACTGCACACATGCCTGCCAAATCATAAGCACACCCTCTCAAGGGCACCCGCTCAGCACTGCACACATGCCTGCCAAATGATAAGCACCCCGCTCAAGAGCACCCGCTCAGCACTGCACACAAGCCTGCCAAATGATAAACACACCGGCTAGAGCACCCGCTCAGCACTGCACACACGCCTGCCAAATGATAAGAGCACCCGCTCAGCACTGCACACACGCCTGCCAAATGATAAGCAAACCCGCTCAAGAGCACCCGCGCAGCACTGCACACATGCCTGCCAAATCATAAGCACACCCTCTCAAGGGCACCCGCTCAGCACTGCACACAAGCCTGCCAAATGATAAGCACACCCGCTCAAGAGCACCCGCTCAGCACTGCACACAAGCCTGCCAAATGATAAACACACCGGCTAGAGCACCCGCTCAGCACTGCACACACGCCTGCCAAATGATAAGAGCACCCGCTCAGCACTGCACACACGCCTGCCAAATGATAAGCAAACCCGCTCAAGAGCACCCGCGCAGCACTGCACACATGCCTGCCAAATCATAAGCACACCCGCTCAAGAGCACCTGCTCAGCACTGCACACAAGCCTGCCAAATGATAAGCACACCCGCTCAAGAGCACCCGCGCAGCACTGCACACACGCCTGCCAAATGATAAGAACAGAACTTTTCAAGGGGTTGCTGCCTGGAGCCCTTTGATCATGGGGTTTCGGAAAGGTTTCGGAAGTTGTCGTGTTGACACTGGTGAGCTTTGCGCGAGCGCCAGGATGGCATGAGAAGCTGTAGCACGTTGCTGTCACGAGCCAGGATGGCATAAGCTTGAGCATGTCGCTGTCGCGGAAGTGAAAAAAAGGAGGGCGAATTCTGCATACGAGACTGTTTGCCTGAATCACACTGTAAACGACATGAAACGGACTTGGAATTGGTAGGAAAGCAGCATTTTGGAAAGCACTGTTTATGGTGACCTCGAACAAGACCCTGTAAAACGCACGGTTTTTGAAAGCGCCCAGCAGCGCAACCATCAGATTGCGCGGGTCCGTTGCGGGCGCCGTTACCTTGTTTTGGGGGGCACTTTATTTAAAATGCAAGTTTTTCCATTGAACACTGCCAGGAACGAAGGAAACCCCCGAGCAATCCAACGATCCTCTCCCTATCCCATTCCGAGCAAAACACAGCTGTTCCTCGCGCCTTCGGAGCTGAAGATGTTGAACATGCGGAACTTATGCAAGGTGCCTGGGCCAAAGCGCTCTCAACAGAGAGCTACACTAGGTCCTCCAGATTTGAGAGGTTAGAATAAGGGTATACTAACTTTTTTCTGTAGGCTAGTTTAGTAGGGGAATCCTCCTAAACCAAAAAAAGGTAAAGGGGCACTACTGAGAGACCTAGGAGAGCATCGTTCCCACCAGGCTGTTCTGGTGAAACCACCTGCATGTTTGCCTCCGAGGGTTGGTGAATGGATGTGAACCCACCTGCACGGTTGAAACCCAGGAGACGACAAGAAGACTTGCTAGAGTTTCACGAAGGAACGGGCACATATATGTATGTGTGCGTGTGTTTCTTTCCAGGCGGACCCCCAGAATGGTAGGTTTTCTTCCATTGATGTCCGTTTGAAACAGCCCTTCGGAAAGGGTAAAAATCCAAACAACCCACCCTGGGTTGCCAAAGCTCAGTGATTTGCTCATCCCGTGCTGCCGGCCCTGGCATGAGCGACAAGGCTACGCCAGCAGCACGGCTGGGTGATGAAGATGCAAAATGAAACACGTGCAGCACACAACTCACCAACAAGGCCGCATTCTGAATGCATATCATGTTTGTGGAGAGCGGTTGGCATCTTCACTTGTATGTTCATAATATGTATGCATTTTCTGAGGTTACCCTTCTTGGGAGCGTTTCTTCGGGCGTATACTTGGCAACACATGGTTGGCTTCCTTTGGGCTTCCAAAAAGCCAAAACGGAGATCCTCAAGACAAAACACACACGCCCCCAATTCCAAAACTTCGGGATACCCAGCCCCCTTTGTGATGGGTGCACAGTAGAAGGAAGCCCCCTCCCGAAAAAGAACGGCGGACCTCAAAAAAATACGTGCCATGCGGGACTAGGTCTGGTGAAAATCCCTTGCAGAGTTTCTCCACACCCTTTTCGCACAGCCCCAGGTCCATGAGCATACCCTTTCCCCCGAAACATCACCGGGAGACTCACCTATGGAGATGTTGAAAACCACCCAAACAAGAGAATAAACACACATATATATATATATATACTACAATGTGTCCTCGCAACAGCAACATGTGATACAAACACATGTGCGCGTCAAATGAACGACTTTTCCCTGCCACAGGGTACCCCTTTTTTGGTTTCAAAGGGAAACCAAAAAACGAAACCCGGCTTTTTTTGAGGGGGGGTCACCCATATAGATTCGGAGCCCAACAAATCAACCGAGCCAAGCGTCTTGTCAAACTCTGCAGCCGAGGTGATGATTCAGGGCTGCACTGAAGGCTGTAGTACAACCCGCAGCCGTCGCCGATGATGTGCATGCCCTGAGCCGGAGCTGAACTCTGTTGCAAAACGGGCGGCTTCCACGGGTAGCTTGAGATTGAAGGTGGAAGTCAAAGTTGCAGCCCTGAATCCACCCAAGTCATACTCGCAGCCTAAACGCATCCAACATCAACCCGAAGCTAAGCCAAAACGCCCCCGCCCCCAACCTGAAACAAACCCTAAACCAACCTTCTGCGGACACGAACCAAACCAACCCTCCATAGACCCCAAGCCCCGCACAAACCACTCCTGCTCCAAACGAATGCGAGTCCTACCAAACCAACCTGAGGGGCCCTCGGTTTTACAGACATAGTTTCCATTTGCCGAGTGCCAAGGGAAATCATGAATTTTGTGTCGGGCCCCGATGTGGTCCCGAACTCCGTGATCATCTCTGGGCTGTCCCTTTTCAGATCCCCTGCTAAAAGTTAAACGTTTGATGGGTGAAATGCACACAACCACTAAGCCCTAAACACCTAAACGCCCAAGAGGACGGCTGGGAACCGCCAGGATTTGGCAAAGCAATCAGCTTCGACTCGACTTCTGCCTTGGCCAAAGCATGCCGCTGGAAGATAACGTCCCCTGCCAGAACAGTGGACTCGCTAATCGCCTGGCCGTGTCAGTCATGGGCACACCGTGTAACGTAGGGCATTCGTTCCGCGTGAATTAGCAGCCCCCTTTGGGAACATGTGGGTGATAAACCGGCTTTCCACAAACCGCAAGCAAACATGGGCAATTTGCTTGTCCAGGCTCGAACATGCCCACTGTTTAACATCTCCTGTATAGGCTTCCCTTGTGGGAAACCAAAGGCCGCTGGCTCTGTTTAATTACCTGGAGTCTCCATGACCCTTTAAAAATGGGTCCCTGACCCCATTATTTTGGGTAATGACCCCATTTTTTTAAGGGTCATGGAGACTCCAGGTAGATACTTTAGTAGCACAAACAGCAACTCGCCCAATCTCAAAACAGACCGTCTTTGGCCAACACCGCACTTCCACCTCTCGTCTTGCTCAAGCCGTCAGATATGCTTGATTTGGGACCCTTTGGCAGGTATCATTCACATAGTATCTCCACCCACCATTCTTGAGTGCCACGTTTGCGTGCTGCCAGGCAAGCAACTTCACATTTACCCTTGACATATCCTTGTGCCATGCTCCAAGAATGCAAAGCTGATACTACCTGCCAGGAGCTGAGTTCATCTTTGAGGGTCCAAGGCAAAATTCGACTGCAAGTCTTACTATATGTCTACCTAATGGAGGACCTTGGTCTCGTTTTGCCCTTTCGGTGTCGCAAGAGATCCCCCCTTTTGGGGGTGTTGGAACATGTGACCATGGGGTCAAAATCCAAAGCCCGTACCCCCAGTGAACATCCCAATGCAGCCACTAAAATAGACTAAAATGGGTGGTGCACCTCCATCGGTCGCGCCTGATTGCAGAGTTGCACCTCCATTGCGGAATCCTGCTGGCCAATCTTGTCGAAGAGGGCATGGCTGCAGAGGTACCTGCTGCCTCACCGACCCGGATCGATCTGGGAAAATCAGGAGCTGCAAATCGAACGATCCGATCCCCCCCCCACGGATCGATGGGGGGTCTCCTGCGGCTCGATTTCCTGTTGTTTTCCCTTCGCTCCAGCACAAGAGCCCATTCTTGTGCGGTCCCCCTGTTTTGACACATACCTGTAAAGATTCTGTCCAACAGGTTGCTTGTTGCCCTTTGATCAGTTGGGTTTTCAACCCCCCTACAAGAGTATCCCTACCCGCTTTGGTCATCCAATTCTGGATGGAGACATCTCATGAGGATTGACCTCAGGCTTTCTGGTTGCCCCCTGAAAGTGGAGACCGTTAGAGGTACTGTGGATGGACGAAATCCGTTCGCACCACCTAAGAAACCCTGGAGTGATTCGATTCCCCTGTAAATACCAACAAACAATGGCTTCCCATTTTAAAGTGGTGCAGGATTGCGTCCATCCACAGTATGGCTCGCTCAAAGACTTCTTGTGCGTCGGCAACGTGAAGTGCTCATTGGTCTGATCCGCTTTGACTACTCTACAAACTTGTTTCCATGCGTCGAACTTAGGCACTGTGTCTCCAACGGGGTGCCCAGAGACACATTTACGCACAACTACTTGTACCATACTGTGGGTATCACCAGCTTTTCGGGGAACACATGCCAGGCAGACTAACTGTCTCCAGCACACCATTGACGTCAGTGGGCTATATGTGCTCTTTGGTGGCTCCTTTGCCACCCATGTTTTCGAATATATGATTTCTTAAAGTTTACTTTCAGCGATATTGGACACATGTCTAGAAAGCCATCCCAAGAACATTTACTTTCTTCCTGGGCAGGTGCTGCCCCCCCCCCCTCCCCCCGACTCAGTTGCATGTTCCTCTGAAAAGATCGGCTGAAGCATGCGGTTCATTGCAAGTGGTGGCAATTCATGGTGCCTTGCATGTGCCGTGAACCTCGTGTTTCCGTCTACCAACTGTCTCGTGTTTGCAACAGTGTCATCTGACATGTTGACTTCACAAGCAAACATCTAGCTTTGGACTTGACAAACAAGATGACACCTGTTGACAACAAAGAAGTTTGCAAACCGACCAGGTTGGGCATGTGCTCATATTGTTCTTGACCACTCAACATGTGCTCTCTCCCGAGCGAGGCCAGCTTTGTGTCTACAGGTGATGTGAAGTACTCGCTCCGTCACAATTGCCATCCACAGATACGTCTTGGACTTTGAGATCTAGCGGTTTTGAGCTCAAAGGGCGACCCCAAAAAGAAGTGTTGCAAAAACTCTCAGTCCCGCTTGACTGGAAAATCGGGACTGATCCACACCAGGGTTTGGCTGTGGCTCAAATAAATGACCAAAATGGCCCCCTTGGTAAATGGAACCAAAAACCAAAACCAGCCTAACCCATGCTTCTTAATTTTGAGCCACAGCCGTTTCCAAAATAAATCCAATTCGATTCGCAGCCCATGTTGCAGGCTGCGAACTCCAAAGGGCCAAGCGTGTAGGGGTCCAGGCTGCGGTTGCGTGCCGTTTCCAAGCTCCAAGCAGGTGTCCAAGCGTGTCTCCAAGATAATTCTTCGGGTATGGCCCAAAAGCTCTGGTCTGGCCCGACTTGTTTGAATCCAATGTCGCCAAAATGCGAGCCAAACCAATCCTCAGGTGGCCAAAGGACCCAATCAGAGGTTAAGCTCTTGCGGACATGACTAAAACTAAGCCAAACAACAAGGGGAAACTTCAGGTTTTTGGAGTTGGTTCGGGCTCCTCGGAGCCTGAAAACTGCCAGAAGGCTCGATCCTTTTGGCGTCTTTTTCCCGATCAATCTCGGGCCGGGCCGCGGGTCGCGTGAAAGAGCTCCCGGACCAAGCCCTGAGCGCCGGGAAACCGGGAAGTTTAGGGCTGTGGCTCAAAATCAAGTGGTGCTCCAGATTTGAGAGGTTAGAATAAGTTGGTATACCCACTCTTTTTTGCGGTTTTGTCGATTTTAGTAGGGGAACCGAATCTCCCAACCAAAAAAGAAACGGGAGAGAAAGTTGGCACCTAGCTGGCGGACCTAGAAATTAAACGCCTAAAGCAAGCCGCAGGAGGTCTACTTTTCCATACAACCAATTCATTTTGGACTTGGCCACACCCATCGGCTTGAGAAACACTCGACGCTGGTCTTCTTCTCTCTGTTTCCGCTTTCCCAAAGTTGAACAAATGGCCAGAAAACGGCTTTCACGGCCGCACCAACTAGTGCCAGACCCTGAAAAGACTGTTTTTTTCTGGGATCCCTAATTGGTAGATACGCACCCCAAGTGCTGGAAGCTTCACCATGCCCATCGCGAACCGCCAGTCGAGGCTGATGACCATCGCATTGACTGAAGATAGCACTTTTTCTCCCTCATTTGGAGTGATCAATACTTTCGTTAGTTACCGACCTAAAAGCAAGTAATGAACTACACTACAGACCCTTTGACCTACAAAAAGTTCTTTACTGACCCTTACCGACCCCAGAAAGTTCTTTGCTGACCTACAGACCCTGCGCTTCTCTGGTTGGTCTTGCCTCCTTGGTTAACGTTGGAAGGGGAGCAACAATTAGCAAATTTTAACAGTTAAGTGGATTTGGGTTTCAACCACTAAACCACAAGTTCAGCAGAAATGTAAAAAAAGAAACAACAAACAACATGTTCCCCAACAACAACCATGGCACATGCTACGTGGGTCGAAGTCAAGTCTGTCCTCTCCCGTTTTTTTCTGGTTGGTCTTGCCTCCGGCATGGTCTGCAAGATCTTCATCTCCGCATCCAACTGCTGGCGTTGGTGCTCGCGACGCACGTACCTGCTGTCAGACGGGGTGACGAAAATCCGCTCGCGCCACGAAATGAATCCCACTGGTTGAAACCACTGGTTGCTGGTATTTACCGGGTAATCCAATTAGAAACCCGGGTTTCTTAGGTGCGGAATGGATTTCGCCACCATCCACACTATGGGGACTTGCTTTTTCTTTGTTTCCGATCAGTTTTCTTGGGCTAAAAGCAAAATGGAGGTCAACAGCAGGGTCCACACGTCGCCGTCAAACGAAAGGACTGGGTTCACTAAGACTACTGATGGACAAAATACACTTCGCACCGCTTGGGATCGGTGGCGTATCCATGACAACATGGGGCAGGAATTTGTCCATCCACAGTAATCCCAACCGGCAAGGTGACACCAGTACAAGGGAAACCACCATCTGGCCTAAGGATTCTAGATTCCTTTTGAACAACCCAAAGAGAACACTGCTCTCAACAAAAAAGTGGCTGCTTTGTCCTCTTTCATTTCTTTACCAACACGCCCTCCAGCCAGCCTCTTGATCTTGGGCACATAGGAGCTGCCAACTTTATGCTGCTCACAGTACTTGCGCACGGCGCGGAGAGTCTGCTGTTGCTGCTTCATCTGTCGTCCTATGTCGGCCATGACGTTGGTCAAGTAACCTCGCGTGCTGAAATTCCAACTTGCCCAAGTCTCGGCCTTCTCATAGGTGGCCTTTTGGAAAAAATAATAATATGTGTTTTCCCTGGAAAACGGAATTAGCCCCATCCAAACCAGTGCCATCTGAGGGTCAAAAATAGGCACCATGGGGGAAATGGAACCAAGGACTCAAACCTGCGCTCCTAGTGGTTTTATTCTGGCCCATACCATCTTTAATCAAACTAACCTAAAAAGGCCAATTTTTGACCTCAGGGCCTGAGGGTTCTTTGGAACCGGAGCCGATTTTCGTCACCCCAAGGATTTTCGTCCGAGTCGCTGATGAAGACCGGGCCGGAGGCGCTCAGAATTCCGGTCGCCACCAAAGACAGCCAACGCTCCTCTTCGGTATTCAACTCCATGTTCGAGCTCATGGCAGACGGTGGTAGGCGAGACCTGGGCGGAAAAGGATGGGGCCCAAAACCGGGCCACTCCTGTGCTTTGTCCTTTGCAGACTGTGCATGCAAGCTTCTGGATGCTTGGTATTGATGGACGAAACCCACTTCGCGCCAATTCACAGCTGGTTTGGTTTGTCCCATCTTTCATACGCCCCAGGCTTCAATCGCACAAAAATAACGCCTGACCCAACTTACATGATGAAACTCCTCAAGTAAGCAATGATTGCTGGTGGTTGTATTATCCCGGTGTGTTAAAGGCGGTTGAAATCTCAGGGTAGCTTCATGTACAGGTGCAGAACCTTCTCCACAAACAAGCTGCAGGGGCGCAGGGTTGCTGGTGCTGCCACTGTGGGTATTGGTGCTAGTGCTTTTGCTTTTACAGCTTCCTAACAATGGCCTAGGGTGCGAGCAGTACAAGTGGCAAAGTGCTGTAAACTGTAAACATAGGATTGTAGCTTCCTTTGAACCGATCTTCATGGCCATTGATTTTAGCTGTACGTCTCTCCAACTTTTTGTTATTTTGCAGTACACCTCGGACTTCCCGTGGTCCTGCATATTGCAGGTAGATTTACTGTAACCTTCCAGCACAGACCGTAATCTTGCAGTCCAGTCATCTCGTATGGTCTTCGCCTTGTCAGCCCCGTTAAGCTGCTATGAGTCAGCCTTGCCTCTATGCAACATGTGGGTCAAAGGATCGTCGGGGCATGATTGGTTGGTCGGTTTTCCTATCCGTCAGCTTCTCACCGCTGATGCTGGACCTTGCTCAAACCATATCGTCCTAGATTCCAAAGCCAGTGTAAAGGAAGGGTATTTGCAGGATTTCGGCCAAGGGTTGACCCTAAGGATATGTTTCTGAGCAAAAACTGTGAAACTTTCGATGATTTCTGCAATCAGCACGCGTCCCGTCGCAAAAAATGTTTGCTCTTCTCTTGTTGGAACCTCGAAATTGTGATTTTCCATTCCCTGCAACGTTAGGTTGAACGAGAAGCAACCGACGCACCTTGGTTGACGTTGGAATGCAAACAAAAAATGCAACAAGCAACCGGTAGGTATACGGACATTGGGTAAAAGGGGCTGTCGCTGGGCAGCAGCGCAGCCGGCGTCTTGTGCTTCATTGCCTGCCACAATGACCGATTTGCCAGTTGCCCTGGTGGCTGCGTACATCGACGCCTGCCAATCCTGCTTCAGCAAAGGCCAGCCGGGACATCCAAATCAGCCGTCCCCCTGGAGCAAGAGGACGTTGAACGTAGGCGCCAGGGTGTGGTGTCCCCGGCTCTGCAGACCAAGTTTTCTGCAAGCCTTGCACGATCCAGTACAGCCGTGTGACCAGCGGAAGACAGGCCATCAGAGCAGGGATCCTAAAAGGCAGGAGTGGAGAAGGAGAATAACGAGCTGCGGTCGCCAACGTACAGATTCCAGCTTGCTGGCCTACAGTAGCGCACCGCTGCCAACATACCGGCAAGTTCGGCAGTGTGGATGGTGGCAAACTCATGCCCCACCCTTGTTGGCAATCGACTAGAGATGGGGTCAGACACCACAACGGAGCTGTCCCCATAGTGCGGTCCCATTGGGACCGCGCCTGCGCACAGAAAGTACACCGGCCCTGACGCTGCACACACCGAAGTCCAATGCGGACGCTGTGAAAGACAGGGGTGCATCCAAATAGGAGGAGCGTGCGTCCTGCGCTAAGCACGGATCTTCCCACGCATTTTCCGGCCACGCTTCTGGAATGCGCGGAGCAGCGGCGTGAGGGCTAAAGATCCGGCATTCCGTGGCCCAGTCTTCCTTAGCTTGCTGCAGCGCCGACCGGACGGCACGCCCGCACTGGGCTGGGGTAAAAGGAAAGGCGGGCGCTTCAGTTGCCCACAACTCCGCGCTGCACCATTCCCTGTCAGGGCGAGACTCTGCAGCCCATTGGCAAGAACGCGGCGAATCTCATTGGCAACGAAGCCTACGCGGCAGAAGGTAGCGGCGGACGAGAAGGAAGGGGTGCCCAGCAGGCGGACTCAGGGCATCAAGTGTGTGACCAACAAGCTGGTCGGTCTGTACATTGAAGTGTACACCATACCCTGCCAACAATCTCACCGCATTGACTACCCAGGCTTAACTGAGGCGCCACTTCCGGTTCTGCCCGCTGTGCGTCGAAGAGGGAATCCCTAGCCAGGTGGGATGTGGGCGTGGTACCACTGAGAAGGAGGACGAGGTCAGAGGCAGTAGCTGCTAGAACAGATTCGACCACAGAGGGAGCCTGCATGCCTGCCTGATGACTGACCAGCAGACTCATGCGCTCTGCTGTAGCACGTACCCCCATGCCTGAGAGCAATAAGCCTTGGAAGGCGGAATCCTCAGCATGCAGCTGGGAAGGGGAAGGCAGACCCACCAACGGACAAAAGTTGATGGTGCACACCAGACACAAAAACTCACACGCACATGACAAGCAACACGACTAACACACACAAAAGCAAACAGACAGATGGAGGGACGGGCGGACGCACAAACAACCAGAAACAAACAAACGAAAGCACCAAACAAAAAACGACAAGTGACAGCAAAATACGAAAGCACAACTGCACAACACACGCACACACACACACATCAACAAACGCGGTCTAGCTCGTGTGATAATAACCAGGCAAACAAGCAAACAATCTAACAAATAACCGACCAACAAACCAAATAAACCAACGAACAAACAAACAAGCAAGCATCAAGCAAGCAAGCAAGCAAGCAAGCAAGCAAGCAAGCAAGCAAGCAAGCAAGCAAGCAAGCAAGCAAGCAAGCAAGCAAACAAAAACAAACAAACAAAAACAAACAAACAAAAACAAACAAACAAACAAACAAACAAACAAACAAACAAACAAACAAACAAACAAACACACAAACAGACAAACAAACAAACAAACAAACAAACAAACAAAGCACCGCACAAACAAGCAGCAAAAACAAACAAATGAAGGCAACACACAATGCTACAACACAGAATAGGCACACAACAACGATCACAAATACAGCATCATCTAAGATCAAACCCACAAACAAGCATAACTGATAAAACAAGCGAGAAAAGCAGGCCGACAGACAGGACAGCAAGCAAACCAAGCAAAAACAGAGGCAACCACGCACACGGCAAACACAGAAATCAAAGCCAGAAGCAAGCATTTCATTTTTTTACCTCTCCACCTTGGCTGTGACAAAGCCTTTGACCTTGCGACATAAGTTCCGGACATCGCCCACTGCACAGATCGAGTGTACTGCTGCCAGAAGGGAGCCTTCCGGAGGTCTGCAGCTGCCCAGCCGTCCTCGGGGTCAGGTTCTTTACCTATGGACTTGACTAGCCGTTCACGCGATGGCTACGGGGTTCAAGAATGTCCCTTTCCAAGCCCCGGCATGGTAGCAAAAACTCAAAGTGTGTGCAGCAGAAGAAGCAGCCAACAAACAAAAACATGAGCTTCTCCACTACAAATCAGCATGGAAACCAAGAAGCGGGTCCTCCAAACCAGGGGGTTTCCTCGAATCATGGGTTTGGGGTTCCATTTTAATTTTAAGTTGCGGTGCAGTTGCCCTAACTTTTCCCGAGATCGTTCTTTGCCGGTGTCTTGAACAACAAGACCCAGAAAGGCAGTTCACTCCTTCTCCCTGAAATCCGGCATTGGTGTCTGATAGACCACAACGATCAATTTGGGTGTGTTTTTGTTTGGGAACTGTTGGTTGGTTACGTTTCACATTAACACCAAAAGGACCACTTGGTGGGTACCCCCCCAAAAAAAACATACCCTATTTGCGCTTCTCGCTTAGGACCGGCGCCGGGGCTGAACAGAAGCTCGGGGAGCTCTGGGCTTCGAGCTTTGGGTCTGAGAAGTCAGCAAATCTCCATCCGTTCTTCTTAGAACAAACCAACACTATCTCCATCCCCAGGCACGTTTCCAACCCCACGCACTGCGCTTCAAAAAACAACGGCGGCACCCAGCCGGCCGTGCCTGGGCCACGCCCACGGCGAACCAGACGCAGGCGAGCCAGTGGATGGCCACCAGGCACAGCACCAAGACTCGTGAGACGGAGGCCACCAGCCGTGCTGCAGGGCTCAGCTCGAAGCCTCGTTCGCGCCATTCGGTCGATTCGGGTCTCGGCGGATGAAGGTTCGAACTCAGCTGGGTGGTTTGTGTGAGTGTGGGGGGGGGCGCCCGCCAACATGGCGAGCGACGGGTTTCCTGTTGGTTGCTTTCAAACCACCAAAGATGGGGTATCCTCAAAAAACCTGTCTGAAAATCCGTGTTGGTGCAAACGTACGCGACGTACAACTCCGCTGAAAGTCCCAACTTTTTTTTGGTGTACGAAAGCAGCGCGAAGTCAACTTCCGCAACCCCAGCTCGAAAGTCGCAACTTGTCAGTTCCAAAACAGTACGCGAAGTGCACTTCTGCAGCCCCAGCTCGAAAGCCGTGCAGCAGATTGCAGCAGCACAGGAGGGGCCCCGTTGGCCACCCATAGCGGGAATCGCCAAACATGACCGGAAATCCGGCTGAGAAGTTGCGCTCCACTGGGCCCGAAAGCTTCAAAACTCCGACAAACTGCTTTCTGCAGGGATTGCAGGGGTTTGCCTTTGCAGCGGGCGCAATTGTTTGCCTCAGGCCATGCTTTCCTCCGACTAACTTTGTGCATTCTGCGCGCACTGCCGGAAAATACCTCTGGTTCATCAATACATTTTCCTTTTAGCAACCCACCCTTACACAAAACTATCGCGAGAACACAATCAACTTTGGCGACCTCCATCGCGAAGCTTTCGCGGAGGTCAGCAAAAGGGTTTTTTCCCTTTATACCTATCACTTTTTGCGGCGGAAATTCTGCCGCAATGCATAGTGGCAGAAATTCCAGCTTCATGCCAAGCAAATCAGCCGCCCAACAACACAACATGCCGCAACGCTGTTTCCCGAGTTTCGGGCTGGCTGGGCATAATTCTAGTCTCATTTTCCCCGGCAAACAAACATTCTGAGCCCACGCCGCTTCTTTCTGGCTCCAGCCTCCGAACAATGTTTCCAAGTTAGCATGCTATCACGGAAATATCAGGGAGGACAGCTTGCTACCCCGACCGTTCAACCAGTCAAATCATATGATGTTTCAGCCTTGCCACGAATGTTACGAGTCGATCGCATCTGCGGATGCAAGCCGCGAAGAGCTTTCTCGGCCTTTTTGTTCCTGGAGTTTTCGCCGCGTTCCCGCCGATGTCCGCCGCATTCCCGCCGATGTCCGCCGCAAATCGGGGGTGGAACAAACTGGGAAATGAAAAAACGAAGCCACAGGTTGTAGTGGTTGATTTCGGTCGATTTCGGTCGATTGTGGCTGAGTTGGGGCACCATCGGGCTCAGGGCGGGCTGCGACACTCCTTTTGCACAGGCAAAAAAACTTGAGTAAATTGCATAACGGTCGGTTCACCTCATGTTTCTAGGTGAACTTCACGCACAAAGGTTTCCAAACCGAATGTCACAAGCGCGAAACTGTGCAAGTTGTTGTTGTCCTGTTAGTCGAGGCGAGCGGAGGCGAAAAAAAAAGAAGTTTTGCTGCACATGAACAACAACGCCGCAAATTAGGCAGACATGCCGCAAATCCACAAAGCCACCTTCTTGAATCGCGGCTGACATGTCCGCCGCAACCAATCCCTGGGTATGAATTTATATATAAGGACCTTTCTGACGACTGCCACATGTCAAGGTAGGAGCCAACAAAAGCATAAGTTGAAAAAAAGGCCCTCCGTTTGTTCGGGACCTTGGCAAAACATGAGCATAGGAACAGATTTCTTGATGGAACCATGTCAGTACGAGAGACTTATTGGGCACGGGGCCCCGCGGTGTTAATCGAAAGCCTCCAATGATGCCTTGAAATAGGACCATGAAAATGGAATTGAAGGTTCCCTCCGGGTTTCCAATTGTTTTCAAAGGTAGCAAGACTAGCAAGACTAGGGTTTCAATCCCGTGGATTTCTATCAAGAAAATAATGGATTTCCACCCTCCGTTATGATAAATTGATCGGGGGCGACTAAACCAAGATGAGTGGGAATTGGTCAAAAGTACGCAGATGGAACCAACACCATGCCCGCGCTGCCAAGTAAAGGGGACGACTGAACCAAAACGGAACTGTGCCAGCTACTTTCACTGCTGGATGCTCAACCCACTTGTGTATGCTGCACAGTCAAAACTCATGTGAGTCACAAAATGCAAAGTGTTGTTTTACTGAGATCCCAGTTACGATGTCTGGTTCGCAATGTTACCCAACATTGCCATTTTCGCACGTAGACATTTGAGCCACGGTGAAAACTTCAGCGGGCGTTCCCTTCGCCGTCTATATTATAACTTCCCCCTGAGATGTCCACGACCATCCCAGCCTCAAGTATGCCCAACCTCCCAACCAATTTCGAAGAAAGGCACACTCTCTTTTGGCCCTTGATTTTAAGGGAGCCCACCCCTCCAAAAAACACAAAGCGCACTGAACAAAGTCCAAAGCAAGCCACGTGGAGCGAGACCCGAGGCTCCCCGCGGCGGAAGGGAAGCTTCGGAACCATCAGCCAGGCCTTGACCAGCCTGGGAGGTGCTGTGGATGTGCGAAATCCACTTGCCACCGTTCAGAAACCCAACGGAATGAGTCGATTCCCCTGGTAAATACCAACACACAATGGTTTCCCAATTGAAAGCGGGGCAGGAGTTCGTTCCACAGTATCACACCTCCTTGTTTGGTGGTGTGGATTGGCTTGGTGGTGAAATGGGGTTGCTTTTTAGTACACTTTTGTAGAGGGTGGTGGTGAAATGGTCTGTGTTTTCCCTTTTACCCACAAAAGCCGGGGGCTCAAATCCAAATCCAAACCACCAATCCAAACCACCAATCAAGGGTAACCTGATCCTACTCACTCTTCCAGAGGACCTGGAAATCTGGGAAACAGTTTGGATGCGGATTTTGTGGATCCCCAGGATGCTAAAAGAGTACAAGAGCACTAAAAAAAGAACATACAGGGGGGAAGAGCAGGTGAAATCCACAAGCGCATCCCAACGGTTTTCTAAAGAAAAATCGAAGGACCGCCTGCGGAACCTTTCTGCTTCCCCGTTTAGCCGTTTGGAGCCCGGTGCTTGAAAGTGGTGAACTCGGGGCGCGATTCTCTTTGCCCGGTTCCCGGGGCTCAAACTAAATCCAAACCACTTTTCTTAGGCCTTACCTGCTGCAAACAACCAAAAAACGCCTCTGTTCCAATCCCAGGTCCAATGTTAAACATGTTCTCACCCGAGGAAATGTGGTCTCAGTGTCAGATGACATTTGTTCCAATCGGAGTTTTGGCCCCTTGCTTTCTTACCAAAGTAAGATCTCACCCGACACAAAATGCGGTCTCAGCACTGGCCAGTGCACAAAAATTTGCCGAACTGGCCCTTCTTGGGTCAAAAGGGAAACCAAAAGAACACCCCCGCTAAAAAAGCACACACCCAACTATCACAGACCACACCAAAATCCAGCTTCTGTCTTACGATTCTTGGCGCACATGTGGGAGTTGCCAACTCCTGTTCGAGCGGCCGGCCTCATCACCCGAAGACATTGCACAATTCGAATCACCTTGGCTGCCCGCAGAGTACCTCGGGCCGACCGAGGTACAGCACATTCAGATGCAGTTGCTTTAGCTGGGGGCCCGCCTTTGACCAGACTTGAAAATCACAGCGCGCAAACCTCAAATGCTTCCTTGGCCATTTTTGCGGAAAAGGCCTTAATTGGGCCTTGTTGGCGACCCCCCATGTGTAAACACGATCGCGCTGTATCGAACCCCCGGTCTCGTAATATCATCTAGGTTTTCCAGCAGAGAGGCTAGCATAAGGGTACCAGTTTTTTCTGTAGTCGATTCTGGTAGGGGAACCGTCCCCCACAAAAGGGGAAGAGAAGGGCACCTAGCTGGGGGACCTAGTCATGCCGTGTTTTTTTGAATCCCGAGCGCCCGTGAGGAACTGATCGTCATTGACCATTTGAATAAAGTTGTAGATGTCCGGAACCAGCACTAAGACGTCGAAGCCTGAGCGAACCAAGCGAGAGATCTAGGGGACACTTTCCCATTGCTTCCAGGGATCCGGATCTTTCCAGAAAACCATCAGAACCCCAGGGGAAACAGCTGGCTTTTGAAAATAATAATGGTTTAAAAGAATGGGGAAACCACCCCTACAAGAGAGTCGAACTAAACCACGCAGACCGCACACACCAGTGAAACACGCGCAGGGGCCAAATCAGCCGCCCTGCTGAGCCTTGCAGGCCATTCAGCTGAAGCCAGCCCGGGTCAGGTTGCTCTATAAGTTCTGGCAAAGGGTCCCCTGGTAGGGAAAGTGAAAACAAACTGACCTATTTGTGGTCTTCTGTGGTTTGATTTTCGTGAAACAGCTCCCAGCAACCCTGCAAATCTATGCGTTTGCTGGAAGACTAGCGGAAACGGAGGGGCAACCAAATGCGAGAAACACGTTGACTTGCGTGTCTTGTGACATGAGGTATATTTATGTATTTAATACATGCGTGTTTCGAGCTGGAAGTTACAGGTGTGGATCGGGTTGTGGTTCAAACAATGTTTCGCGGGTGCTTTCGGGCTCACAGTCTCGTGCCTCTGGCTGAAGTTTCAGAGAAAGGCCCAAGTGGAAAATAATCTTTGCTGCTCAAGCGGACTCGGCCAATTGTGGGGAGCTGAAAACAAAACACTGTGCCACTAAATTTGTCCACGAAAACCTTTTGAGCCGCAACCAGAAGCTGTCACAGCATCCAATGGAGAAGACCCTGCGGGGCGCTTAGAGTCATAGAGCAAGTGCCACCCTTGGGAGCCTCGAGCACGAAGAGCTTAGTTCAAATAACTGGCACGTTGAACACACACACGCAAAGCCCGCAGCCGCGAGTGCCGGTCGCAGCCCTGACGCATGATGTTTAACATGTCTCCGTTCGGCCCGCGTCTTCTGCCCGCGTCTTCTGCGCGCTGTCTTGCGCGCTGAAGCCGCCGCCGTTCAGACGTCGCAACAACGGAGCTGTTGGTGAGCTCTCGGAGCGCTTTTCTCTAAACCCTTGCTGTGCTCCACTTGCAACACAAGTCCGCGGCGCTGGGCGCGCCTGCTTGAAGCAAACAGGATCGAACGATTGAACGGCTTGGACAGAACCTGGGCAGCGACACAGCCTTCCAACTAGCCGGGCAAGACTTAGTGGCAGTTCCCCCTCTGGAACCTTGCCGGAAGTTTTGTTGGATCGCCACATTTCCGCGAGTTCCGCCAACACAAGGATCTCGACGATTTGGCGCGCGTGAAGAGCGCGACTCCACATGCCTTCGGCCACTGAAACAGCTTGACGACGCCACGCCTCCGGTCGGGTTCAGGGAGCCATGGCAGGCGTGTCTTTTCGCGACTCCACATGCCTCCTCCCAAATGACGACTTTCGAACTTGCCAAGCCATGACAAGGCTTGAGTCACCTTGGGCACGAGCCTAGGGGCAAAGCTTGAACGCAAGACCCAAAGGTTGCAGAGCATACGGGAGAGGATCTACTCAGTCGCTACTTACTCCAAGCCAAGACACAGGCCTCTTTGGAAACGGGGTCGGAAACAGAATGCGTTGGGGGCCGCCTATGCTAGAATGGCCTAACGACGAGCCAAAGGGCGCAAAGGGCCCAAAACTCGGAATGACTCTCCAAGGCAGCAGTTTCGCCATACTGTAATAAAAACATGACCTGGACACCAAAAAGTTGAGAGATGCAACTTGAGCCAAAGTGATCCAGACACATCGCAGAAAGCACGCTCGAGTACTGCATCCAAACTATGACGAAAGGACTCCTTGGTTCGCCGCGCGAAAGTTCTCAGTTCTGCAAGATACCTTCCACTGCCAATGGCATTCGTTGCGGTTCGAGCCATACTCATGGCTCGATGCAGCAAATGAGTCGTCAACACCTGGTAAAGGGGGGGCTTCCCAAAACCATATCTGACTTTGGCCAAGGGGCAAAGCCAGGATGCCGCGTATCGCTTCATGATGTCCACTTGTCGAGTAAGCAACTGATCCTTAGCGCACACATTGGCCAACGTGAACCCCAGAAATGCAAGAGGCTACCACATGGAAGGGGCCACTTCCTGCTTCAAAAAGTCGGCCTGATTCGCCATGTTCCTGCCCTACTCCTCTTAAGTCTGGCGTTTATCATCCGGCAAGCGAAAGATCGAAAGTTCCCAACGGCTTGGCATGCGAACGCATCAAACATCTGGACAACAAAAGCTTGCCATGGTGTCCTTGGCGACTCCTTGTAAGGATTTTTTGATCCTCGCTGTGCCGAACTTGGTCGGGAGCAATTGGGGGGTCAGGTGCCGAGATCGCCGCTTTGTTACTCTCGCCAAGTGGGTCCAGTGACATCCTCCAAATCACCCATGGAGGTTGAAAGGGACACCACCGGGCCCCAAAGTCATTTTGAGAACCCCTCGACATGCTCACTTTAAGGCATAGAAAAGGAGTGGCCTCCAAAAGAATAAAATGACCTAAGGCGCGCTAAGCACAGCAGGATACGCGCCAAGCGACATCTGCCTGCACGGCTGTGCGGAGTCTCACCAGCACGTCAAGGATCCTGGACGTCGCACGGGTGAGGGATCAAACAACAAGTTGCTTTTGATACCTAATAAGCTTTTTGTTGATGCCTATCCCACCTCGCGCCACACACACCATCCAGTGCATTGATTTGCAACTCGTTCACAGACTCATGATTCCCTCCATTTGCTCAAGTCCCCTGGACAAAACGAAACACATCTAGAAGCGATAGATTCCTTTACTAGGTCCTCCAGTAGAGAGGTTAGAATAAGGATACCCTTTTTTCTGTAGTCTATTTTAGTAGGGGCACCCTCCCCAAAAAAAGGGTAAAAGGGCGCTGGTGGGCACCTAGTTGTGGTGGTTTCCAAGATAATCCCTGAAATAGAGCCGGAGGGCTACGGGGCTACGGGGAATCCCGGAGCAGAATCCCTGAAAGTGGGAGCTCGTGTGCTAGAGAAGTTGGGCTTTCCACCCTCTCCAAAAATCCCAAGCCAACCAAACAAACAACCAACCAACCAACCAAACAAACAGACAAACAGACAAGCAAACAAAAGAAACCAAACAAACCCACACAACAAAACCAAACCAAATCAACCCAAATCAAACCAAATCAAACCAATTCAAATCAAATCAAACCATACCGAACCAAATCAAACCAATCCGAACCAAACCAAACCGAATCACCCCATTCACCCACCACCCACTTTGGTCCAGAAGAACATGGCGCCAAACTGGAGCAAGTTCATGGCGTCTTCCGCCTGCGTGGCGAAGACCTGCGGGCGGGAAAAAGAACAAAAACAACAATCCCGGGGGGGGGGGGCTGCTCGAGGCATTTCGGACGCCCCGGCGGGTGTTGTTTTGGGCTCACCGAGACTTGCACCTTTTACAAGGGAACCTCCTTTTGGCGGGTTTTTAGGAAAAGAGGCTGGTTTTGGCTGGCACCTTTTCTAGGTCCTCCAGATTTGAGAGGTTGAAATAAGTTGGTACCCGATTTTTTTCTGTAGTCTATTTTAGTAGGGGAGCCCTCCCCCCAAAAAGGGTAAAAGGGCGCTACTGGGGGACCTAGCTTTATAAGGGAACCCTTTTTTTGGCGGGGTTTAGGGGAACCTCTTTTTGGCTGGTTTTGGCTCGTTTCGGCTTGCTGGAGGGATAGGTAGGGAATGACAACCAGTCTGGGTGTTGGGAATGAACCGGTTTTGGGGATTCCCCTCAAGGCATCAAGTGAGTGCCTAAAGATGCCAGTGTCACGATAAGCTTCAGGAAATCAACTCACGCAAGCCACTTGCACAAAACTGGGCATTGCGCAAAGCTCAGCTGAGGTTAGGACATCAACAGTTGGAATCGCGGAACTGTAAGGTTGCGCAGTCACTGATCCATTGGCTAGCTGGCTGACATGCTGGCTGACCCAAGTAAGAACACAGGCAGGCACGCAGGCAGCCAGCCAGGCATGCAGGCAGGATGCAGCCGCGCGAATTCACTGCGCGGCTTCGCAGGCTAGCAGAAATCATCGGCTGATCTGTTTCAACATAGCCAACCAAGTTACCATTGAATCAAGCCGCGCAACAACCAATCAACCGACCAGCCAGCTAGCAACTAGCGAAACAACCTACCATTGTACCCATATATTGAAGCACCCTTCCAAGCTAACAAACTGACAACAAACGAGTCTACCCGATGAACTATCTAATTGCCTGGACAGGCAAACCACAGGATAAGAAATTATTGGGATAGGTATTACATTTCGCCCATTTCAGCAGTTTGACACCTTTTCGATCTAAGCCAGCTAGTAGGCCAGTAGTGAAACGACTGACCATGGTGCTTGAGTTGAGATACAAATGCTTGACAGGAGCAAGCATTTGCAGTTGCAGGCTTGAAGCTTTGGCGATCTGCGCTTGTGGTGGCAACATGTCATCAACACAAGAAACAAGATTCCCTTGCTGGCGAAATGTGAGCTTGATCAAATCAACTCTCAGGGTTTCAAAAGAAAAGACCTGTAGGTCGAGGACTCATGCCGGAAACGGTGCGTGCGGTGCCCGAGGTGCCTTTAGCAGTTTGCCCTGAAACAACCTGGGAGCCTGACTCTGAACTTCCATGTTGGTGGGAGGCTACATGAATTGCGGTATATACGTGGTTGACGTTGGAAGGGGAGCAACAGTTTAAATATTAGCAGTTAAGTGGGGATTTCCCACTAAACCACAATAAGCAAAAATGTAAAATGTTTCCCAACAACAACCATGTATATGGTTGTTTGCTCTGATACGCTGTTGTAGGCTACTCGCATCTATGCTTATGCAGAAACTGGGGCAGCGACTCGACGTCTGTTGCACACATCCTCCCCCCCCCCCCGACACCTGAAGCGGCGCGCAAATCGCGTCAAACATGATGACCTCGCGGGACTGACTTAACACAGACTGCAAGCTGGCAGATCCCAGAAACAAGCACGGAACACTCAAAAACCAGGTGTAGCATGCACTCACCAAGAAAGTGCCAAACATCATGTTCTTGGGGTCCGGCACTTGGCACAATGGCAATAAAGAAATGCATCTTCTCGGTGTTCTGGGCCCGAAAGGCCGAAAGGCGAGTTGGTTGGTACCTGACCCAACGCCAAGAGTTCGCGTGTTTTTGCGAAGCTCCCAAGGCAGGAGGTTAGTGATCCACCAAGCAAATGCCGAATTTGATCTGGCTGTCCACTTTCAGATCCCCCGCGAAAAGTATAACTTTTGGTGGGTTACATGGAAATCCCCACTAAACACTAAAAAGCTAAAAAAATGAAAGCTGCGGGGATGGCCGGAGCCAAGTAATGACAGCACAGTCGCTTCATTTTGGGGTCTGCTGACATAGATGGAGGATATTTTGGGCCCCCATGTCCTCTCCAAATGAAGCGTCAGCTTTCTCCACAGGCCCTCGGTTCCCTCGGCCCCGGTTTGGCGCCCCCGGGTTGGGGGATTTGGCTCGGTTTGGTCCGGCAGGCTTTGGCTCCAGAAGAAAGAGGGCTTCGCCAATCCAAACCAAACCAATTTGGGGGTAGCTTGATACATGTAGCTCACCCGCACAAATCGCAGGGGTTCCACGAGAGAAAAGGAGTTTTCCGTGATGTACTGGTGCTTCCGGAGCCCAGACCCACAGACATGGAGAGAAAGGGTTTCAACAGGAACCCCACTAGGTGACCTTATGGAACAAATGGCCCTGGAAAATGGAACTAAACTAATCTAAACCAGTGAAACCCATCTATTTCTAACCAAACTAAGCTGCAAAGGACACCTACTGTGGATGGACGACATCCCGCCCCACCTAAGAAACCCTGCAATGATGATTCCCCTGTAAATACCCACAAAAAAGGCTTCAAGGTGGTTCAGATCCGATTTCGTCCACTATGACTCCAAACCAAAGGACACCCCTGGAGGTCTAAAGCCATTGAACAGATACGGACATGATCAGATTTTAAGGAATCAGGCCTCTAGCCTTCAATGAGCGTCGGCACGAATGGATCTGACCTGCTGGTTGAAAGGGACATTTACGCCAAAAAGGCGAACAGCTGAAATGAAAGGGGCCCAACCCAAGAAGAGGACTACATGAATACCGCCCAACACCTGTTGACCCAAAGTTCCAACATCTGGAGGATGTATAGACCCTCAGTACAGCATATTGCCCCTGCGTGATTACAACCTCTCGAGGGGGTTTTGCCATGGCAAGCCCAGGCGCAACTAGTGCAATGGCGTTCCAAAGCTGCAGCCCCACTGAGGTCGGGCTGAAGATGCCTGGAATCAGACAGGCAAGCTGAAGAAGTGAACATGGCTTTGTCGCTTTTTGGGGGGAAGTTTCTTTTCATTGGCTCCAAAGGGGAACCACTGGTTGAAAGGAAGAAACCATTTCAGGCACCCCTTTGAGATAAAGCCACATGTATGAAGTGTCAAGCACATGTTCAGGTGCGGGTGTTGGAGGTATGCGTTTTTAGGTTCTTGTTTGTTTTCTTGTTTTTCACAGCCCCACCGCTGGATAAGAATATGCTAAGGATTCTTAGACAGGTCTCGCTTTGTCCAAGCAACTGCTTGTACAAGGGGTATACACTGCCTCACAAGCTAGCAGTGAAATATGATACAACGATCCACACCTCAAACACCGACACAGTTCACAAATCATTCAAAGTGAACATGCACTTTTTTGGTTGCTGTCTGCTCCCTTGCTAAAAGTTTAACTTTTAGTGGTTCAATGGAAAACCCATTACTTGGCAAAAAACAAGTCCTAACAAACAAGCAAAATGCATCAAAGTTCTCCTGTGCTTGCCAAGAGGACACCAACATGTGATATGGACATGCGGCGTGAGAACGTCATACCACACCACATATTCTAGACATATTCATAGCAATAGATGTGCCCATGCATATCATGTCGCTTCGGTTCTGCCGTCTGCACGCTGCAAGACCTGGTTTGTCCGAACAGCGTTCCGGCACCTATGAAAAAAAGGAAAAACATGGCCCAAACTATTTATTGCCCTCCTTTTAATCATGGAAGTGCACACGAGGGCTTGGGAAAGCAAATCATCTTGCTTGCTGTTGACCCCTCTGCAAGAAGTCGTTGAATTGGTGGGTGCCCAATGAGGAAACTCCCAACGGTGTCAATCAACAAGTGAAACTCCAAAGATCCGAGCAAATGGTCATCAAGCTTGAAAAGGCAACTCACGTTCACTGCCATTGCAACCGCTCTTGGTTCTGGTCGTTTTTAGCAAGCCCGGCCCCTTACCACACAACTCCTTCCCATTTGAAGCTACCCACTTGTTGGTTTCTTTTGCTCAGATGCCCAGCGACCATGGCGCAAAAAGGGCAGCCTTTTTGGGATGGTTGAGTTTTTCTCGGGGAATCCCCGCCAAACCCAGGTCAAAGATTGGATGCAACATGGGCCAGTGCTCAGGATGTTCCCAATAGATGTCTCCAAACATGGCTCGGGTTTTGGGCAAATCTAAAACTGCAGGTCCAAAGCTTCGGAAAACGAAGCAAACTTTTCCGCCGAGACCTTCTCGCGAAAAAAAAGAGCGGAGCCAGGTTGCACGGCGGCAAAGGCTCCTGGGAATGACACTGCAGGATAAGCCGATGGCTTTCCATACCTGCGCAGACTTTGGTCTGTGCGCAGGGTTCCACTTTTTGACTACCCCAGGATAGACTAAAACGCAGGGGTTCTCCTTTTGGGGGGAATGAACCATCCCTGGGTTTAAGTGTGCCCTGGGGTAGTGAGAAAGTAGAACCCTGTGGATGCGTGTTTGAGTCTTTCTGAAGGCTGGGGACCCTGATTAAAGGTTGGTGCAAAGGGAAGGAACCCAAAACACCTACGCATACAAAAGAAAACCCAGTCCTAAATAGAAACCAAACCGAAATCCACTTTTTGGGGGTCCAAAAACCTGTCAAAGTATGCGAATTTATGCAACAAGAAAACGAGTCCCTTATGATCTTAGCAGGAGCTTGCAATACACCAAACTGGTGTGGATCTTGAAATACAGTGGATTGAGAAAATCCACTTCATACCAGTTTGAACCCCGATTTGAATATTGGTTGATAAACCACCAGCTGTTGCAAAATGGATCTTGTCCATCCACAAGATTCCGACCATATGCCCATTCATCAATTATCCCTAGACAATTTTCGCTAGCAAGGCCCCGGTACATTTTGAGACGCTCCCAAGTCAATTGTCTGTTCCACCTCTTTTTGACTGCGAATCAACCCGCTGAGATGACTATTTGAGAGACTGTCTGGGATGTACTGACAATGCGAGCTTTTGGGGGCAGGCAATGAATTCTTCACACGTTCCGACTTAAAGCGACCTCAGTAAAAGAGCGAATTGCAGGCGACATGATGAAGACACGTGAAGGTCAACGTCACCAGCGGGGAATGCGTCAAAGCCAGTATCCTTCATGGACATGGGTTCATTTCAATGTGAACCAAGACTTGCTTGTCCGCAATAAGTACGGACAATGGAAATGACCCCTTTCACACAATTCCTCGCAGTGAATTCTTGGACTCACATGCTCCTTTTCTGAAGAAACCACAAGAAGAAGTCCAACTGCCTTTGAGCTCCGAAACTGCAAAGTCAGTTGCGAAACAAGTAATGTTGATCCCAAATTAGTACACCCGCCCTATCAATACAGGGGGATGTTCCCCTCCAAAAGTGAACAACCGCCACCAAAAGGGACACCCCCGTATTTAAACAATTGCCATGCACAGGATTGTGGTTTATACTTGTGACTTAATAACTCGCGATCATGCAAGTAATAAAGATAATACTGAATTCAATAGTTGTATGAACATTTTTAAATATGGTTTGTATTCAGATCCAATTCATTAAACAATGTGGTTTGTAAACAGCAAAAATAGTGCATGTTTTGGAATAGACAACAAGTGGTTGACTATTGATAATAAGGTTGACATTATGACAAAATAAACTAACCATTCATGTAAACATATAATGACAATCACCAATGAACCATATAACATGTGTTTTGCATATATGTATACATGAAACAACAACGAGATGACCATACAAATAAATACAACACATTACACAGTGAAATTGATAAACTGCCAAATCACGCATCATAACGATGACTATTGCTATGATCTGTTCTTATAAATCATCTTTTGATCTACTTGGCTTTCCAGGGTTCCCATTGTCGCCCAAGAGCTGCCTGACCTGGTGTCCCTTTGCTTGAAAATAGCAAGAGGGGCCAATAGAAACGGAGCCTCGGGGTTGGACAAAAACACGCGGGTTTCATGGTAGGGAGGGTTGCTGCGGGGGAGGGAGGGGATGGTTGCTGGTGTTCCAGTGTTTGCAGTGTTTGCAGTGTTCCAATGTTCCAGTGTTCCAGTGCTCCTATTTCCCAGTGCGAGGGAGGGAGGGGGAAGCCATTTTTGTTTTCGCCCTTACTCATGGCTTATTTTTAAACCCCCAGCCATGGTTTGATTTGGGCCACTCCGGCGCAAGCCGCCTTACCATTCCCTCGGAGCTCGGAGCATTCAGAAGGTCCTCCAAACCCCACCCCGTTCAAAATGGAGTGATGGAATTCCAATCCGAGATTCCACGATCCCTGAACAACCACTACAAAAAAGAACCGGTTCCTTTTGTAACCCAAGAATTAAGGATCTTGCTGATTGCCTAACAGCCCAGTTTGAGGATGCAGGGCAAGGGAACAACGTTGCTATTTCGACCCACTTCGGCTTCTTTTCTGGGGCAAGCCAAGAACCTAAAAGTAAACTGGAGGCCCGAAGGCAGGTGGGATAAAACGAAGGGATTCCGATCCCCACTTCGACCAACTTGACTTGGCCCATCTGAGCACAACACAATACCATAATCTTCTATAGTTCTCTTCCAGACATAGGCGTGTCTTTTCTTGAGGGAACCCCTTTTTCTTTTTTCCCAACAGACACCAAAAGGAAAGTCACAATTCCGGGGCTTACCAAGAACAAGACACGCGCGCGTACTGATGTAGTCATACCTCCAAACACATATCTGGCAGTGGGTCAAAACCCTGTACACCTGGTGCACATCAAAATAGGTGGCGAATGGATGTTCTTCCGCCCCAAAATGGAGCCATAGGTTATTGGCCATCTTTGGAGACCAACCGCAGATGGCAATCCCGCTGGCCTTTGCTGGTGGCGGAGATCGGAGACTTCTTCAGGCTCAGCAGATCCTGGGCAGATCGGCCACGGTTTGAGTCTCCCTGCGGCTGGGACAGGGTGAGCAACTTGGGTTCAAGTGGGGGAGGCTTCAACTTCCGGCGTTGGATTTGCGACTTTTGAATAGGCTTAATTCTATTGCAACCTAAACCCAAAACCCATGGGTTTTGGATTTTGGACTGTGGGATCTTGGATTCTTAGGTTGAGGATCGCGCAGCGCTGAAGCTAAAAACCCCAGCTTGCCGCGGGCCGAGAGGCCAGGGTATGACCGTGTTTTCAGGACCCAGGAAACAAAGGTTAAGCTTTTGGGGCCACCGAAAACCATCTGTTGGGGCGAAAAACTAACATGTCATTTCAGGTCGATTTGCTGAGTGAGACAAGTACTCTAGGGAGGGGGTGGGGCCTCAAATTTCTTGCTCCTAGAGCAAATCGAAACACGGGACACCCGGACGCCAGTATCCGACATCTCGCTCGGCCACCCCAAAGAAACGTGACACACATTCTTGGCCTAGAATGCCCGTAAGGTTGGATCCAATTGCTCTTTCAAGCATTGATTCATGCTTGCGTGCGTGCGGGCGGGCGGGTCGGCACGCGGGCGGGCGTGCGTGCGGGGGGGCGGGCCAGCAGGCGGGCGCGCGTGCGCGCGCTTGCAGGCGGGCAGGCGGGCGGCGCATACAAATCAGGGCGCTTACCGCAAACCGCCCAAGCCGCTCATCGAGCGCGCCTCGTTGCAGAGTCTCCACTCCTTGCGCATTTCCAGATGTGGCTCCTCTGTGGTCTTCTTCATGATGTCCTCAGCGTCCGCAATCGAAAAGTTTCCCCCAAGACCAAGGAAATTATCGATTCCACAATCCATATTGGAAAACCACTAAGGGCCTGGCTTAACTCAAGGATTAAGGATTGCCTTTGAACAGCCCAGCAAAGACGCTCCCAGATAGTGCGTAAAGACATGAATTCCAAGAGCACGCACACATGAACACACACATTACGCTCTCAAGACAACCGCCATCTCATCCTTCATCTGCCGCTGTTGCCATCAACTACTCTTGGCAAAGACTGTGTGTGTGTACTGACCGAGGTTGATCCTATGCTAAACCTCACGAACCCATCCGTAACTTGTGGTTCGCAATGCGCAATTCACTAGAGAGGAGTTCATCACATGAGCAAACACCTAGCCATGAGCAAACCCCCTTCCTAGCAAACCAGCTAGCAACCTAGGTCTATAGCTTAGCCGCCTAATTTACCACTAGCGACCTTTCTAGCTGAGCCAGCATAGCCATCTGGTTGCTGGTCGCATGCCGGCCAGACAAGCTCGCCAACTCGCAAACCTATGCTTAGATGGTGCCAATCATCAAAACCAGCTGGAAACTGCCCGTTTTGGTCAAAATCGGAAAACCGACCCAGTCGACCAACCTTTGAATCGATCGATTCCCCAATCCAGACTTCCAGTCCGAATCCTCGAGGAATATGGAAGCCATCGGACTTAGTTCACGTACGTGGGAAATTACATGGGGAGTCCATGGTCCAGAGCAAACTACGAACCTAACACTGCGCTGCGCGTGTAGCCATCCCAACTGCTTTGATTGACTTTAAGCACGGCCCTCATGTGCCCATATTATGCTACCATCCAAGTCCCCCCCCTTGTACATGAAAGTGTAACATAATGACTCCCAGTTATGCCAACTCGATTCTCGAGCCCTGTCCTCAATGTCGCTGATCACCCTGCGAGCCTGGCAGGTTTCGCTGCTGTCCCTTTTTCTCAGAAGGGCTTCTGCTGCAAACCGCTCAATCTTGCCCCGGAACTGACCACTGAATGGGTTCATTCAATATTCCCCCACACACCCGCCCCTGTCGAATATCGTCTGTCAGCGTTGCGCAACAAGCGCCCGGCCCGAAATTGTGCCGCATGCTTGATTCAGAGATTTTTCAGGGATGGGAACTCTACCGACATGCCAGTCATGACAACAAACGAGTGAGCGAATGTTGATGGCCAAATTGCACCAAAAGCGGCAAACATAGAAATCCATCAACTGCGAGGTGGACTGTTCTCTGACACATGTGGGGCGACTCAAAAGCTGCCAGAAGCTCTGGAAACCGGCGCTAGACATTCCAGCGACCTCCAAGCCACCGCAGTTTGCGCCAAACTTCAAAGTCCAGATCTTTCATCCCCACCTACCCCCGCCCACACACACACACACACCCACCCACACAACCCCACCCACACACACACACACCCACCCACACCCACCCACACACTCCCACCTGGCCCAGCAAACGCCCATCCTCCAAACATCGTAACGCTCATGAAGTAACGTGCAAAGATGCACACTGCGTAAAGTGGAAGGGTTGGGTTAGAAACAAGGTGAAAGCAAACATATCCAAAGATACAGGTTCCAAAAGGACTGTGGAAAGGTCGTAAGTTGTGTTTGGCCTGGTTGAGAAGTTTAGGCAGCGGGCTCCACAGCCTTCAGCGCGGAGTTTTGTCTCCGCATTCGACAAGTTCGAATGAGAAAACCGGTTTCAGCACATGTTTGGACCGGCGCTTGACGTTATGCTATTGATGTTTGCGGGGGTAGAGCGCGGAGAGATAGGATACGGGCTTCGTTTCTGTCAGAGTCGTGCAGAGCGATACAGAGATAATCACTTACCATACTAGTGCAGCTGCTCTTGATTTCGGCGAGCTCCTTGCACTTTTCTTGCTCACCAAAACGAATCTGTGGATGGACCAAGTTCTGCACCAGGGATGGATGTTGCTCCCGATTCGATCTGAGATAAACCACCTGGCGCCTGGCGCGGATTTTCTGCCCATCCATAAACTCCTCGATCAAAATGGGAAGTCCCGTCCGAAGATGTCCGAAACTGGAGTCTTCTTTTCAGCGTGCCCCTTTCAGCCTTTCAACCGCTGCTTTGGGCTTCCTCTTTGAGACAAACCCAGCTCGGTGAAAGCAGATGGACAAGCCGGTTTCTGTGGTCCTCCCCTTGTCTACAACACCATCTGCTTTCACCCGTCCAGTTTTCAGGCTTCAGAATCTTCGATGCCGGACATTTGGGCATAGCTCATTTGCTTTGTGGGTACTTTTTTTCTCCTTTTTGCTCTGGGTTTTTACAGGAAACCAACAGGAACACCCAGCCATTTTAGGGGGGGGTTCAACCGAAGACGGACCCATGTCCGCACGGACCCGCCTGCTTGGCCAGCTTGTTGGTCAGTTTATTGCGACTCGGCTGCTGGCCGACCTCCGGTCATCCCATTGCTTGAGGCTTGCTCACTTCCCGTCGAGGGGTATTGGCCAGGAGGTATCCAAGCTTTGTGCTACCAGAGTGGTCCAAACCCAAGAGACCGAAGTCCAGGAGCTGGGGGCGTGAGGACCTGAAATTTGAGAGCCGATCGCCTTTTGGACTGCACACCAAAAGCTCAAAGCTCGGCTCTCGGGTGGCCTAGGGGTCCTGAACCTTGGCATGCACGACACCCCGAGCTGCTAAAACGGGTGTCAAAAAGACATATGTTGCCGCAAAATTCTGTCAGGACGCGTAGGGCTGGTGTGAACTTTGAGTTGGACCCTTTGGTGGATATCAACATCATGAGGATTCATTTCCTACCACTTTTTCGTCCAATATGAGTTTGTCTCTGAGGGAAATAGGAAAACCAACAAGAAATCCGACATCCAACACAGACCCCTCTGTGAGCGCCTGTGGTCCTGTGGTGTCAAGCGTCAGATGTCTGCAAGATGCTCCAGTCAGAGGTCCCCTAAAATGGTTGGTGTCCCTTTGGTTGCCATTTGGCTGTGGCTCAAAAAAGCGGTACCAAAATGAAACCCTGGTAAGTGGAAACATGGACCAAAACCTGCGTAACCCCTCCTGTTTAATTCTGAGCCACACCCATTTAAGTGCCAACCCAACGGGGTCCGAAATCTATTTTAAGGCGCACGTGGTCCGGCCTCTCGCTCTTCTTCCTCCTCCCCGCTGTGGGAGCCTCAAAGCAGGCATCACCTTGAACCAAGAAACTTGACATCCATCCTGGGCTAAAGTGGGGCTTGGGACCATTGGTTGGAAAAAACACAAAAAGGATGAGAGATGTCCCTTACTAAGTGGGCAAAGCTAGCCATGGTCCTTTGGTTCCAGGAATATTGATCAACCCAGAACCGTGAGTCTAGGTGATCGAAAGCTGAACCCAACTACAACTGGCCACGGCTGAGATGTAACGATTGCAACCCGACCCCGACGCAGATCTTAAAGCCGAGCGCAAATAGATACTTTTTTGGCTGCTCCTTGTCCAGAGGCTTTCTTTGGGAAGCAAGTCGATCCTGTGCGGGTTTCAGATGTCAGGCCATGTCATACCTGCAAAATTTGGGCATTCTGTGGACCGGCCAGCGTGAATACTGTATTGAACCTCAGCTCACCATTGGGGGTGATGGAATGATGGCGCCATAGTCCATTGTGGAAAAAACACGGTCTTCCTAGAGGAAAAAAAACAAACAGATCGAGTGTTTGTTGACTGGCGACAGGGTAACGCTTTTAACAACCAGAGCGTAAAGAACATTCTGAAACCTGAGCTCAACAAAACGAGTGCCGTTTTGATTTCCGAAGGCCAAGTGAGCCGGGACCCAAACGATTGAGTCTTGGTTCCACCACCAAACTGGTTATACAGTTTACATAAGTGTACATAACTCGGTTGCGAAACCTGCTCCCCTGCTAAAAGTGAATAAGTTTTAGTGGTGTAATTCGGAAAACCCATTAGTCGGCAAAAAGTTGAAGTCCTGAGATCCCTTGGCAAAATGCACCAAAGATAAGCCATCTGAATTGTCAGGTACCCATCGCTTGGAATGGTCTCCTCAGGCTCTCCGGGTATTTTGGCAGAACTGCCTAACCAAAAGCCAGGCATGAACCGAACCACCTAAAATGGCCAGCGGTTTTGGGCAAAGTGGTGATTTCCAACTCCAAATGGCTGCCAAGACACCAGGACTCATCACCTGGCCAAAGCAAATTGCGATGCCTTCGGTGCCTTCTGGATATGGGTATGGGTCAAAATAAAACCACCAGGGGATCGCATGTTTTCGTCTTTGGTTCCATTTACCAGGGTTCCATTTTGGGTACGCATTTTTGACCCACAGCCGTATGTCTTCGGTTTTCCCGGTGAAACGAACAAAGCCAAAAAGGCATCGACTGAAACGAAACCCTTCGTGGGCCTTTCGACCAGCTCGCCCCTCGCTCGCACCGGAAACGCGGAAAAGAAGACACCCCGGCGGTTTCTGCGTCCCTGCCTGACTGGGCGGGGATATCGCCTGGACAGATGCTCCGGGGTTGGAAAAACTCAACCCTGGTGAAGAAACATGTCGTGTTTGAACAACACTTGCGTAAACAATTGTGTAAAACCAGCTGCTGTCTTTCTGGGAACAAGGGCTTGTTTCAAAGTTTGAACCCCAGAAGCGGAGATCTTCCAAACCGACTCACAAGGTGCGTCAAGAGGAATGGACCGCTTTGGATTGCAACTACCGTGGCCTGCAAAACCGACCCCCTTTTCACTCAACAGAAAAAGCGATTTGTTTTGACTTGGGCCGATCGGCCGGACGGTGGTGAAATGTTGCCCTTTCTTGCCCCACGGGAATCACGTTTGCTTCAGTGGGGTATGTCAGTGGATGGACGAAATCCATTTCGCACCACCCAAGCAACCATGAGACACCATTGTTTGTCGGTATTTACAGGGGAATCAACATTCCGTTCGGTTTCTGAACGGTGGTGCCTAAGCGGATTTCGCATCCATCCACAGTACAAAAATGGCCGGGCGGCGCCAAGCCATCTGGTCCCAAAAGCCCAGCCATGGATGACCCCCTTCAAGTGGGAGTACTTACATTCTACACCTGAACCTTGCCTTGTAAATGGTGGTGTCCCTGTATTTTGGTGGAAAAAGCCATGTTTCAAATGGTTGCACAATGTATCTTTTAAGGAGCCCTGTTCAAGTGGCAGTGCTTAGCTTTGGTGAACGGCTGCGGCCGCAACAGAAAGACGTCCGTGGCAATTCACAGAAGGCGCTGCTAGTGTTATATAGCTTGGGTTGCTCACGTTCTTGTCACGAGCTCCTTGCACCCACATTTGAGCTTGCCATGTGGACAGAAATTAGTTTTTTGGACTTCGTGTCCATGTTTGAGGCGGGTCCCAAACCAAATTCACGGCCAACCAGCTGCATGCCTTGTAGGCCCGCGACGCCAAACTGCTTTTGGATTTGCCTGGCGCAGTCAAGCATTGACTCAAGCGTGGCATCGCTTTTTTTGGAGAGTACTCTCTTTCGGCTTGGTTCTTAGGGAGATTGTGGGGAGACCAGTATCGTCTCTTATGAGACACACCTGGTGGGCAAATGGGCAATCCTACATCGAGCCCTGTTTTTGCCCCAAGTGCTGTTTCCTGAGCCGCAGGTCTCTCGGAAGTATCTTGATTCTTGGGACCAAACCTCACCTCCACTTCCGTAGTGGACGAACTCCATTTCGCACTGCCCAAGAAACCCAACGGAATGTGTCGATTCCCCTGTAAATACCCGGTGAGCATGGTTTCAACCATGATTTCTTAGATGGTGCGAATTGGATTTGGCAACCATCCACGGTATGTCCAGTGACAGATTCCCTTCAAACCCAAACAAATCAAGCTATATCGGCCATGGGTCAAATTCTCAACCCGAAGAAGAAAAGAAGCTGGTTTTAGTCCTTCTCCATTTACCGGGGTCCCAATTTGGGTACCGATGTTTGCCAATTCCACCGCCACATGGGGCAAATGGAGGCGGGTTTTTCTGGCCTCGGTCGCCCGGCTCGCACGGAGACGCCTGGATTTGCGCGAGGCTCAGCTTCCATGGGATCGGCTTGGTGCCACATCCCTCAAATCCCAAGGCTTCAAATCCCAATCCAAACCACCTAAGGCTCGCCTGGTTTTTCCCCAACAGCTGAAAGCTTTGGGGTCTTAGCCCAGATGGGCTCAGGGGTCGTCCGGGGCGGCCCTGAGGTAAAGTTCCACGAGGGTTCCACCAGGGTTTCACGAGGGTTCCACCAGGGTTTTACCAGGGTTCCACGAGGGTTCTGCGAGGTTCTGCGAGGTGGTGCGAGCACTAAAAAGAGCACCGCATGCTGTTGGGGATATCACTTGAGCTTATGTTTTTTTGAGATTGGGTTGAAAGGGATACCAAAAGAAAAACCGTTGCCAGTGTGGGGGTTCTCCTTTGTTGAGACACTAGATCTAGGGTCATGGAAAAAAACAACGCGCGACGCAACCCAAACCAACCAAACCAACCAAACCAACCAAACCAACCAAACCAACTTGGATTGTTGTTGTTCTTGTTTTTTGTTTATAGGATTGGTTCACAATTGGGAATCAACTGGAGCAAGTAACAGGTGCCCCGAAATGGGTTCATTCACATTTCAAGGAAATCCATTCAGGGAGATGCTCAAGGGACAGATCGCCAAACACTGCACAAAATGGGGGATCCGCATCTGAATTCGTAGTACCGCTTCATCCAGGGCAACTACAACCATCTGGGATACGGATTAAGACTTGTTTTTGCAACATACCCAGTGAAAATTGGGGGAGCCTCAAATTAGCTTGGCTAAACCGAAAAGCTGAGTTGCAGCCATAAAGAAGCAAGTTTGCGGCCTTAAAACTGCTTGGATATGGTTGTTGTTCCTTTGGATTCCAATCTCCCAAAAGTCTACATTCAGGATATGCCTTTCAGGAAAACCATGAGCGCCACTTGTTGCGTCCGCCACCAAGTGCCTTCCGCCCATATCCGCCCATGGTATGCTAGAACAAAACACCCTTGTATTTCCGACTGAGTAAAAATAGCGCATGCGGTGTTTATCATACTGTGGCTGGACGAAATCCATTTCGCACCACCTAAGGAAACAAGGGAAACCATTGCTTGTTAGTATGTCCAAGGAAATCATCAAGGGTTTCTTAGGTGTTGCCGGATTTCGTCCATCCACGGTATTTTTCTGATCAGCTCAATGCCGGCTGCTGTTGGGTCGTGGGGCTGCCCATCTAAAGCGGAAGTCGCAAGCAGGAGCAAGCTTGGCCCTGCATGATGCGTCAATGGCGCAGATTGGACTTTCGAACACCAAGATGAACTAGGTCCTCCAGTCGAAAGGTTGAAATAAGGGTACCGTTTTTCTCTGTAGTCTATTTTAGTAGGGGAACCCTCCCAGCCAAAAAAGGGGGTCAAAGCGTAAAAGGGCACTACTGGGGGACCTAGTAGCCCAAACCATTCGGAGACGACCTCGACCATTTGATGGCCAACGGCGGGCCAAAGTGCCAACGGCCTCCCGCCTCTGCGTCTCTCTCTCCGGCGCTCCCAAAAGAGCCTGAAAGCGGATGCAGGATACGAGACTAGTCACGGGAGAGGCACAATGCGCAGCCTGTTGTGCCAATGAGACAATAATATTGCCGCCGAGCATGGATTGAAAAGGATTTACATAGGCTGCTTCATGTAACCCAAAGGTTTTGGTTTGGGGTTGGGACAAGTCGATGTCGGAGTTGCGCTGTTCCGCTTCGGTTGAGAACAACATGTGGAAATGTTGACAGTGCCGAATGCGCAAAAAAAACGGTTTTGGATTTCAGGCCAAGTCAAGCACTGAATATGGCTGAACTGTCGTCAGCCGTCGGTGAAAAACTGAATCTTCCAGACAAACAACTAAGGGCCTAAACAATTAGAGGGGGTGGGGCACGTGAAAAGCCAACTCAAGTCACGCCCATACAATAATCAAGCGTCTACTTTGGTTTGTCGAAATAGTGGGACTCCAAAACCGGAGTCTGCTGTTCCTGTGATTTCCCTTTAAAGGCACAAGAGGGCTACCAAGCCTTAAAACCCATTAACCATGATCATTATATATATATGCGCACCCATGTTTGCGCTTCAGCCTAGCGCTAAGCTAGCGCCAAGTGCTGACAGGGCGCCGAGGATGCCAGAGCTCATGACCTGGCGATCAAAACTCCTCTCAGCCGTCATGGCTCCCTTAGAACCTCGAGCTGTCCCCCCCTTTTCTTGGTGGCTCCCAGCCATCCGGTTCCTCAGCTTTTTAGCTTTTTAGTGTTTGGTGGGGATGTCCATTCAACCCACTAAAAGTTACCCTTCCTCCCACTAACTTGTTGGTGCGGTAGGGAATGTGGGAATGAACCCAGGGAATGGTCCCCTCAAAGGAAACCAGTGGGATGGTTTAGAAGGGTCGTTCCCTCATTCCATGAAGAACACTAGCAAGTTGTAACCTTTGCATTTATTGATTTCGGGCGTGTGCCAACCTCGAAGCAAATTAAATATTCTGGCCTTAGATCAAACCCATGTTGTCGCGGGCTGGAGCAAAACCAACCACTTTGTCCCTGGGCCATACCTTTCAGCGAACTCTCAATATGTGTCAAGCCAGGATGCAAAGCTGATTCCACCCTGTGGCTCTTGCAAACACGAAAACCAAACCAAAAAGCGTCCCTTTGTTCAGGATGGCATGCCCGCATTGCGCTCGCGTGAGCTTTGATCCGCTTTCCTTTGTACTCCACATGGCACCCCGACTAAGCTGTCTTTCTTTCTGGGACAGTTGGATGTTGGTAAGCGTTCCTTTTGGGTTTCCCTTGAGGCACGAAAAAGGGGTACCTTCAAAACCGAACACACCGATATCATGGCAGGCACACGAGTCCGTTGGATGTTGGTAAACGTTCCTTTTGGGTTTCCCTTAAGGCACGAAAAAGGGGTACCTTCAAAACCGAACACACCGATATCATGGCAGGCGCACGAGTCCCGTGCCCCTCCTGGTCCGACTTGGCCTTGCGCACATTCAGCACCAGGGACGTCTTCTTCTCCGACTTGGGAGTGTTGCCGTGTGCAACCGACTGCGAGAGAATGGAGGACTTGCTGAAGCCTGGCATGCGCAAAGCGTTGACGTATTGCTCCCCCTTTTTTAGGCGTTTTCTTGTTTTAAGGAGATTAAAGGGGAAAACAACTATTCATGCTGACCCCATATGAATCAAATTCAGTTTAGTAATAGGGCATGTCCTTAGGTTTAGTGGGGAACCCTCACTTTTGGAGGGGCCCCCAGCCCTCCTGGGGTCAGCAGGGCACTCCTCCCAAATGCCTCTAGCGTCTCGACCGTCACATCCATAGAGCTCCGCTTCGTGCGCCAGCCATAGCCTGGCCTCGGCTAAAGTTGACCACTTTGAGCACTTTGACTGGGTTCATTATTTTGACGGTTTCTGGAGGTTATCAAAGTCAGAAAATTAGTTTTTTCCCTTTAACCTACGACTTAGGGGGTGACTTTGATCATGGTAAAATACTGTTAACCCCGGATCAATACACCCTGGTTGATTAATAGGGGTGTCCCCTTTTAGTGGGGATTCAGACCACTTTTGGAGGGAACGCACACCTAATAATGGGACAGGCTTACTAATCCTGGGACAACATTATAGGGAAACAAAAACGCGACCTCGACCTGCCGTCAGGGTTCCTACAAAAAAACATCATCCCCTGGCGAAAAACGGCAACTCCTTTCGTTGGTCGTGACTTTTGTTTGAAGAGAGGCCCCACCAAATTTCCCCTCGTGCAAAAGAAACTCACTGCTCTGATCGTTGGTCATATGTGGTTTCGAAGGGAGACTCTCCCCAGACTCGCGCCGGGAGACCTCAAGACTTCCAGAACGAACAGAGGTCGGAATCCGGCTTGAGCAAACAGGTGCATTAAAAAACACCTAACTTCTCGGGAAATATATCATGAAAGCCATTTAGGCCCTTATATTACTGAGTTGCGTTGCAGCTGCAAAAGACTTGGAGCCATGTTCATCGCCTTAAACGACTCTTACGCTGGGACAGCCACGGATCCAAAAAAAAATCCTCTCCACTTCAGATGAATCCTGAACCGAGGAGCCGTCAACTAGTAGGGTCCACCGACTCCGAGGTTACTGGCGCCCAACCAGATAAATTATTGAACACGTTGGCCCGGATCCAAACTCCCGAAACTCGCAGTTTATGCCGGCGCCAGAGCTCGGGCCGGAAGATGGGCCTGCTTTTTGACGGCCACCAGTCGGTTTACAGGAAACCCGCCATTCTGGGGGGCCAAATTTGACAGATTGAGAGTCCCCTCAACAGTCAAAGGAAAGCTTGTGGGAACCCACTCGGGCGCGAGTTGGAGCCCCACCCCCGCTGGGAACTCCCAAGTCCCAGTCCTGCAATGTCTGAATCTGTGCCAAGAGGTCCCTGAAGGAGTTGGGCACCTGATTCCCAGGCAATGGGTTGCTCTAGCAAAAGCAAAAGTTAGACCTGTAGTAGGTTTACTCAACAAGTTGTTTGCTTCCAAACGACCAAGGAACCCGACACCTCCTGCCCCGCTTCCTGCCTGCGTCGCTGTCGCGACTGCAGTGGTTGCTGCTGTTGTTTCTGTTGCTTCTGCTGCTGCTGCTGCTGCTGCTGCTGCTGTTGCTGCTGCTGCTGTTGCTGCTGCTGCTGCTGTTGTCGTTGTCGTTGTCGTTGTCGTTGTCGTTGTCGTTGTCGTTGTCGTTGTTGTTGTTGTTGTTGTTGTTGTTGTTGTTGTTGTGGTTGTGGTTGTGGTTGTGGTTGTGG